GAGCAAGGAAAATCAACTTTCACTTGCTAAAGGCTGTGGCTCCTTGAACCTATCTGAAGAAATTATGTTGGAGTTTTGAGGATACAGAGAAATAGGAATTCTGCATATTTGCCACTGTTCGCTTATTTTAAAATTGTACTTCACAATATTGCGTTCCAAGTGAGGGAGTGTTCGCTCCGTTTCTGCTGTCTGTAGTAGGGAATTTTTTTTTCAGTTGTTTTAAAAGACCATAAAAATACATAAGCTGAATGCTGCAGTAAGAATCTCCTCTGTTTTGGTGACAATGGTACGTATTTCCAAAACCACACAGCAGTGTGCGTTGCAGAAAGATGTGTAAGCCAGAATAAAATCTCATTCTGTTGTCTTGGTGCTACATAAAAGACAGCTACAAAAAATGATAGCAAGAAAAGTAAATTTTAGTTTTGCTGTGATTCTTCACTTTCAACTCCCCATTGGGAAAGAAGAAAGACAAAAAGAGAAGAAAAGATCTTTAAAAAAGCATTGCAATAAACATTGTCTGGCTTGAATATCATGTTAAAAGGAAACTGGCATATTTAAAAGATAGTTGCAAGTCAGAGTTTCTAAGGAGGTGTTTCTTCTGAAATGTTCTTTGATTTGATTTGATAGCCTAATTTTATTCTCATTATAGGCCATTCTTTAGAGAAGTACAGAATTGTAGGTGATCAAGGTGGGTTTGTCAGGAATAAGCTTGGACTCATTTGCACTTTTCTTTTTGTTGTCTTTTAATGAAACCAATGAAAAAAGCAGAAAAAACCCTTACAAGTTTGTGACCACATTTAGTTAAAAATGTCTTTGTTTATAAGGAGTAATAAAAGAGTTACCAAATTCTTCAGATGTGCTTCAGATTATTCTAAAAATTCATACCTTGCACTATAAAATATCAGGGCTCCCTCCATCCTAATTTGCAAATCACCAGCCGCTCACGGAAACCATGTGCATAAAAACACATCTAGCCCAGCATAATAACAATGCACATTACAGTTATTCTACTAGGAAATGCAGAATTTTAAATCTTCAAAGATGCTACAAAAGGCCCACAAATGATAGCAATTTGCATCACAGATTGCAATTTATTCTTGAAGGTGATTTTTTTTACTGTTGAATCCTTGAGCTTTTCTATGTTTCTACAGTCACTGTTTGGCACTCAGTTTCAGAAGGCATTTCTTTATGATGGTAGACCTATATTTTCTTAGAGTTTCATACCATACTTGCTCATTTTAAATGAGGGTTTATACAATGCAGTGCCTTTATTCCCAAAGGCAAACTTTTGCTTTGACTAAGTAACCTTTTGAGAAAAAAGTTCTCTGTCCTGTATTTGTAGCATTGTGTGATGTGCACAGCATATACTGCAGTGACAAAAAAGATATTCCCAGATGAACAGAATGTATAAAAAGAAAAATGACAAGATGCAGCATTAATACCATGGTGTTTATTAAACATTTACTTTGATTTTTTTTTTCTGCTACAGCATAAGGTGAAGGCGGAAAGGACCCTGTGAGTCTACTATGAAAGCTGATAAGGAGCAGTACAGCTAGCTGGTTCTTCTGTTTTAAACAGAGTATGTTTATCTGTTTTAAACAGAATATGTCTGAGGGTGAACATAAGATATGTGAAAAGGGGAAGGAGAATGACTTCTGTAAGGAAGGTGCTGTGCATAAAATAGAGCAGCATTAGGCTGGTTCTGTATGATCAATACAGAAAATTAACCCTGGTTTACTAATTGGGTTTTGCATTTCTGCAGGATTTGGGCTGTTTCCAGAAGTTATTGGGGCCGAGATACCTCATCCTTGTGAACGATTCTGAACCAGAACGCACCATTCTGAACATGGGGCTCTTGTCTCTATACTTTGCTCCCCTTTCACATACACCCTGTGCTGAGACAGCTGATTTACAGCTCCAAATCTGTTCAGAAGCCAGTAGCTGACACTTCTGCGTGTGTGTGCATGTAGTGTTTGCATATGCATGTGTGCCTGTGACCTTGGTGCAGTCAGGACAGTCGGAGCAGCTATTCTGATTAAACTCCAGCTGACAGTCTGTAACCTGACGATAGTCATTAACTCAAAGACTATCCCATTCCACCAGATTAGCAGCTGTGTGACTTCCAGCCTAGCTTTCTTAGTGTCTGAATACTAGGAAGCAGCAGAAATGGAAGCAACAGAAATAGTCTGATGTAATAGTTGGTAAATTTAGCCTCCAAATCTTATTAAAAATAAACCAAACTCACCACAGGAAACATTTCTACCCTTTACCCTCTTCTTTTTTAATAGTAAACTCAGCATTATTTCTGACAAATCACTTTAATTTCCTGTAGGAAACATGATTGATTATCGGTCAGGGGACACAGAGGTAAAATACATGATTTGTCCATCTCATTCAAAATTATTATTTATTCCCATTAATCTTGCAAATTTCTCCACAATTCTGCCCATAACTCACAGATAGATGCTAGGCTTGTGATAGAGGTTATGTGAAGGACTATTGTGTAGTCATACTATGGTGGGGCCACTGCTGTCCTGGTGGAATGCTTCACTATTGTGCTGTAGTGAAAAATTGCATAGTCAATATTTGTTACCTACATGGCTGTTGCCAGGAGGCTGGTCATGACACTGGAAATCCTATTAGCAGCCATATGATGCTTTTTATTTTAATGATTTCTTGCAAACATAATGAGATGATCATGCCAGGAAACTAATAAATTATTATGTACTGTGTGGTACCTGCTCTTACAGTAAAATTGTTGAGAAAGGTTCAAGTTCACAGACACAGCACATTCACCTTGGACATCAGTATATCTCCAGGAGACAGCAGGTTGCATCCCAGAGAGGCAGACTGGGAATGGGACTGTAGAAGGAGAAGAGGGAGTACAAGGCCTCTGCGGCTTCACAGGCGAAGCGGTTTCTAGCAAGTCTTGGTGCCTGGGTGTTGGATGCAATGGCAGATGCGTAGTAGTAGATGTTTCTGGTCTGTGCGGCTCTTAGACTCATTACACTGGGTCTTCAAGCAGCTACATGAATGTCGTTGCACTGCACCCAATATCCCATCTATTGATGAAAGAACACAAGCTCGCACTTATCAACCAAGCGTAAGTCTTCTCTTGCCTATTGCGTCTATATCTAGAGTGTGTTCAGGCCACGTTTATCCTTGACTGAGCTCTGCACTGGAACAGTCATGATCTGGTGATCATTCTGAATTATTCTGTTTATTAGACATGCCAGGACAGGGGTTCTTTTTGTTTGTTTGTTTGTTTAGTTTCGCTTTGGTTGGGGTTTTTTTGTTTATTTAGTCCATAAGGAATGGCTGAAATTGAAATTGTCTATTTTGTCTGGGAGCAGGAGGAAGACTGTTATCTGAAGCCAGAATAATGTGATAAGCAAAAAAAATATGTAGGGGTGTCTGCTCAATCATGACAGAACGTGTGACTGTCTCAGATGTCTCACCACCCATACATATATTTTTTTATATATATATATATATATCCCAAAATAGCTAGTTTCCTGACAACAATCTGAGAACTGGTTAAGTATGAGGATTACACTTTCTGTTCCATGCAGATGTGTTGAAAATAAACACATAGCAGTTCTGAATGAATGTGAGTTAGCATGGGGAAAGGCAACCTGGGAGATGCTGTGTGCTGGAGACAGTAGTATAGTCCAGAACAAAACCCACACATCTTCAAAGAGAGAGGCCAATAATAAGGTGGACAGTTGTTCTGTCAGTTTGACAGTATTGCCGGGTGTTTATAATACATGCAATACTTTCTGTTGCTTAGCATTTTATTGTGCGTAGGTGCTCACAATATCTCCATTATGGATGCATGTTCTAGTGACCTCTCCTGGAAAAAAAAATAATCTTAAGGAGTAGATTCTTTACAAGACCCTAATCCCTTTTTATTTGTGTAGCCTGAGTGAACAGCTCCTATAGCTGAATAATTCATACCCTGAGGAGGGTTCTTGAATTACTTTGCATTAGTCTACGAAAGTGTGCCTGTTCTCTGCCTGGCTTTTTTGCCCCAGGAGAAGACTGGGAGAACAATGGTTGTCAGTCTCCAAGAGGAGAGCCCAGGCTTCCAGTTGCTGCAACTGAGGCTTTCTTGTTGTACTGCTGTTATCAACAGAACATAAAAATAAAATCAGATCATTTGACCATATGATTAGCACATTCCTGTTGAACTCTAGGTGACCTTAACCTTCTGGGTCTTTACAGAACTCCTGTGTTTCTCTCTTAAGAAAGATTTCTTCCTTAACAGCAAGGTTTTTCTTTTGATGCTGAAATAACCTCTGAGTGGTTTGCTTATAGGGTTTTAATGGGCTGTATTGGGGCAGACAAGAAAAGATGCATTTGAATGATTGTGAAGACACATTGGATAACCAAATTTGTAACATCCAGATGAAGTTTAACCATGTAATCATTAATTTCTATTGCTTGGTGAAATGCTTCTTGTGTTTTCTTTTGCCCTATCAGTATATTGCAAGATTGAAAAGGAAGTATTTGCAATTATGTAAACAAGTAGGAACTTGTGGATTTGAAAAAAATCATAATCTTATGTTGAGTAAGCTTTGCAACTTCCTTGTGGGATTCAGACAGTTGTTTATGGGTTTAGACCACATTTTTTTACTTTTTTAAGTTAGCAGGATTTCTTTGGGGAAATGGAAGCTCACTGCAACCATAACTGTTATTTGATGGAGAGTCGTAATGAAGAGTTTTGACAATGAAGAGACTAGAACTTGCATTTATTTCATAGCTTCACGTTTTAACACGTTTTCATGTTTGCTTTTATGCCTAAGAAATTAATTTGTGTACATAAATTAAATTCTGTCTGACTGCCAAGATCCTTGAGGACCAAGAAGAACTGAGGATGTACTACATAACTATTTCCATTTTATAACTTTTTTTTTTTTTACAGTTGACTCATAGTATCTTCAGTGCTGTAACATGAGCTATTATAAAACTGCTGTAAATTTTTCCTTCTACCCCTTCAGCATGTGACAGTGACCACTGGGGACCTCACTGCAGCAGCCGCTGCCAGTGCAAAAACGGAGCCTTGTGCAACCCCATTACAGGAGCCTGCCACTGCGCGTCGGGTTTCAAAGGTTGGCGCTGCGAGGAACGCTGCGATCAAGGGACGTATGGAAATGATTGCCATCAAAAATGCCAGTGTCAAAATGGAGCTACCTGCGACCATGTGACAGGAGAGTGCAGGTGTCCTCCTGGATACACTGGTGCCTTGTAAGCAGTGGCTGTATTATTTATGGGGGAGAGGTACAAGTTTTAAATAGTGCTAACAAGAGAAATTAAGTTTAGATTAACTTTTAACACTATGGTGTTGGTTTGGCTGCTGTGTAACGCAGAGAAGCAGGGCTGGCTAAGAAGCAGCTGGGCAAACCATGTTGCAGTGCATGTTCAGATGTTTGGCTGAGAAGAAGCCCTCTTGGTCTGGACTGTTAAGTAAAAGCCCCAAAAAGTAGCATCAGGAGCTTCTTCCTGGCCACCATGGAAACGGTTTGGCTACAAGTCTGGAAAACCACGTTGAAACATGGAGTTATTTGGCTTTATCATTCCAGAATAGATTTTGAGCTTTGTCAGTGACCACAAATGAGCACCAACCAGTGTAGAAAGAAATATCTTTAAGAAGAAATAAATCCTAGATTGCCCGGTCCATTTCATTAGATCTTTTGCATGGATGCTTTGCAATATTCAGTGTGCATTTCTTTATGTTGGACTGCTTTCTGTTTCATACTTTTGGCTGGAAAAGTTAACGATAGCATTAAAAATGAAGAGGTGGCTGGAGACAGGAGTCTGTGCCAAAGTAACGGTTGTCTCTGTTGTTTACCACCACCTCCCCAGCTGTGAGGACCTCTGTCCCCCCGGGAAGCATGGGCCACAGTGCGAGGAGAGATGCCCATGCCAGAACGGAGGCGTCTGTCACCACGTCACCGGGGAGTGTGCCTGCCCGCCAGGATGGATGGTAAAAACACTTTCCGAAATCAACACAAGCCCGTAAAACTTCCATATTTGTAGATTTCGGGCAGTGTCAGAAAAGGTTACCAAATGAGGATAGCAAATGCAGTCTGCCTGTAGCCAAGAGTAATGAGAAACGTATTTTAGCATAAGGGATGGAATAAAATACTTACAAAACCATCTGTTACTGAAAATCCTCCAGTTCTGTGCTGCCTTTTTAACCATATCGGATTCTGGAAAGCAAAATACATGAATTGTACTATGACAAGGCAACATCCTTTGGATCTTGTCTGGAAGTCATTAATTTCTAGATATAATTTGATATTATAGGGAAGTGACACCATTATGTATTTTAGCAGTGGATTTTGTGCCTGGTTTTCTATGTACAGTATGCATGGCAAAACCCCCAAACCGTTAGATACTGTGTTAAATGTTGGTGATGGAAATGGGACATCAGAAGTTTGACATTATCTTTAGACTTTCTACCCTTTTGTCAGTGGGTAGGGAAAGAAGAATTGACCTCGGAGCTGCAAGTACCCTCCCCTACTACCAGGCTGCCAACTCTGAGTTGGCAAATAATGGAGTTGGAAGGTGATCAAAAGGTTGGAAGGTGACCAGAGCCCAAATAATTTCTTTAAATACATTTGTAGATAATATTTATCAATAGTATTTATTAATAATGTTTTCTATTTAAGTGTCCATTTTGGGTGAAAATCCACATTTACTGAACTTTCAATTATCTCATGATAATTGAGATATTATATTGAGGTAACCTGTGCCAGAGATCAATTTTTCACTAACTAGAGAACATAGCTATAAATTATCATCTTTGTGTGTTTGAATAGCACCACTCACTTGGGTACTTAATGTGGATTATGGAGATTTTTACTTTTTATTCCACCTCATGTTAGAAGAACAAAATTATTGGTCATAGAATACAGATGTTTGCATAAATTCTTGACTCCATTTATCTGCTTAAATACAGCTAATGAAAAATGAGATAACATATGAAGCAGTGATGGAAATTTTATACTAGTGTGTGTCTTAATTAATAAATTACTCTTTAGCCTTTTGACTAATTTTCCATTCCAAGTAGTTATTTAAGCATAACTCTTTGTTAGTTTTAGTTCTTTCAATTCTGTGAAACACAATTTTGTCAGCTTAACCTTCTTTACTTTTCATGTAAGGAAGGTTTAAAGTAGCCAGGTATAAATTCTGCAGTATCTTACATTAGCTAAAATACTTGCATGTCTTTTGTCTGATGAAATGCCTGTAAATACATTTCTCTTGAAATGGCTTCTTAAAATTCTTAAGAACTGATGGTCCCTTCACTACACAGGTGTAATTAATTCCAAGGATGTAAATAGCAGTGCAGAAATTCCAAACCCGTTGAAGGGAAGCAGACATCCTACCTAGGCTTTTAAGTTATGCTGCTTTCAATGAAATTACAAACAGCTTTTCATTTCATCAGAAAAAAACCCCCAGCTTATCATAAAGTAGTATAATTGGGGCACTACAGCAATTGCTGATTTCTACACCACTACTCACTGGAGGGCATTTCCGGATGTCTTGATATATACTACTCCTGATAAATAAATTGGGAAGAGCCTGACATCAATTAGTCTTAAACGCCTAAGTGTTTTCACTGTTGCTTAGAGATAGTGTTTTTCATTAGTTTGCCTTCCAAAATGGAAATCCTAGAAGATTAGTCCTCCAGTGCTGAAGCATACCCCACATTTAAAGCTGGAGAAGAGTCTGGCATTTCCGAGATCAGCACTAGATGAGTGACACAAGATGTCCTTGATCTTCCTTCATCACAAAACTTGATTCCTTGTCCATTTAAGCTGTAATCCCAAATCTAATACTAAGATTTTTTTTCTGCACATGCAGGGTATGGTCTGTGGTCAGCCTTGTCCTGAGGGTCGTTATGGGAAAAACTGTTCCCAGGAGTGCCAGTGCCACAATGGAGGGACCTGTGACTCAGTGACAGGTCAATGCCATTGCAGCCCAGGTTACACCGGGGAACGGTAAGGAAAACTTCCTTTTGCCAGACTGCTGAACCTGCAAGGGGTCTGCTACGACAAAGAAAGTTAAGAAGCTGGTAGAAAGCAGAATGAAAATATATGTGATATGAATAAGAGTCTTATGAAATGTCTGCCATGTCACTTAGCTGATGCTGCGTCACAAGTTAAAAGTGCCTATGTGATTACCCTTTTGTGAGGAAGTGCTAGGTTTCAGGATTTTCCTGCTGTGGCCCATGCTCTGGCAGTGTCTTCTGGGTCTTCACTTGAGTGGCTTGCAGAATGACGCAGTTTGGGTTATGGTGAATGGGTGAGGAGGGAAACTCTTGGTTTTGTGCAGATGTTTGGCAGCCATAGTAGCAAGAGAGTCTCATTTGGTTCCTCTTCAAAGCGAGCAAGCTGGAGAGTTGTCTCCTAAAGTATTTCATTCAAATGAAGAAGTGAAGCTTTTTTATTTTCCAACTTGATTGCTAAAAATCATCTTTTGTAGATTGGAAAAATAATATAGCAAGACATCATTTTTTAAGGCAGTGGAAAGTGATGAAAGAAGCATTCTGCATGTATTTTAAACAGCATACAACTCGTTTGCTGAGGTCAGCAGCAGCTTAATCACTGGGGTCAGTCCAGGGAATCTCTGCCAACAATAGTAAGTATTATAACCATATGCACTTCCCACGTGAGTGTTCACAGGACATGGGGAGAGCTGTGCCAGACATAAGGGGAAAAAAACTCATAAAGACAAGAAAAAATTAGTCTAGAGCCATTTGGATGCCAAAATTAAATTTGCATCTGTGAAGAAACAGTGCAGAAAGTGGTAGATGCATTTAAAGAGGCACAGACAAGTCAGCAGGGAAATCAAAGGAATATCCATATGAGAGTCTACACACTGCACTACACTGGTGTTTTTAAAAGCAATTAAATTTTTTGTCTTGGAATTCAAATCTGACTTCAATCTGAAATGCCTTACAGGCTGCAGCATTTTGATCACTTTTTGCAAGTCTGAGCTCCCTCTTTTCTTGCAAAATGAGCTGTATTTGCAATTCTTTTGTTTTTCAAGAAACTGCAAGGGCAGGAATGGGTCGGAAGCAATGTTGTAGACCTGGTTCTTATTTCATGTCAGTGGATTGGCAAGGGAGGGAAGTGTGGCAAGAAATGTGTGGGCATTGGCTGAGCTAGCATGTACATACCAGCAGCAAAAAGGACGTTTTTTAAAGTGTTAAGCTATTCTCCACTTCTTGTTGTGTATAGCTTCAACAGTATTTGTCTTAGATTTCGGTGTGGTGGTGACTCCTGGAACTTGGTCATACAGCAAGAAAAAGAGGACTCCTAGAGCATGTAACAGTTTCTGGGTGATGTGAGTTAACACAAGAGAATGTAGTTCAAACTACTTTTATAATTCTTCTGCCTAATACTTTTTGATTGATACCTGTCCTCACCACAAAGTGGAAAAGGGTATTTCAGAAGCTGATGAAGATGGAATTAAAAAAAAAAAATTGCAAGGTTAAATTTCCTCTAATTTGGCTGGAATTCCTGATTGTCTTTTGGAGAAAATTCATTCTCAGATTTATTTGTTTAACTTTATTAGGAAACATTTAAACAGGGTTATTAGCTGTATTACTATGCTACACCTTTGAAGGAAAGGGGATTTTATTGCTGGCTTCAGTCAGGGCAGAGTTACAAATACCTTGAAACTTCTGGATAACACTATCAGATTGAGGCAAATACTGCAGAAGCATTAAATGAACATGTGTATCCATTTTACCTCAGTCAGAGGGCTCTGCTAAATTCTGTTATATTTTGCAGTGCCTCGTATCACTTGTCTTTGAAATTTTCCCATAATAAACCACCAATCATACAGTAAAAATACAAAAAACCAAATTGTTTATGAAAAATGGAAAGAGACCACCAAGGAAATTCTTTTATAGGACTGGGGAAATGAGAAAGTTGTAAGCTGATAAAACCATTAATAAGTTATCAAGTAATCTTTTGTAATCAAGTTTTGTTATCAAGTAATACTTTTGTACAATTTGTAGCTTGCTAAAATTTGCAGGTACCCAAATTGCAGAAGATGTTATGTACCCGATACCACCTGTTGAGTTGACAGCACACCTCAAGACTTAAATGTCAGCATGTTCTGGCCTTAAAGCTTTGGGATTTAGCTGTTTTGTCTTTTTGTCTATGTCAGCATAATTCAGAGTTTATAGGATTCTTGTATTGAAAAATAGGGGGATTTTCCCTGACACATAAGCTATGAAATGTTGTCATCCTTGGCTCTGAGGCATGAACCGGTTGAGGTGAGAGGTCTGGTCTCACACATGTAATCAAATGTTTTAAGTGCACTTAGTGCTGGAGCCTTTAGTAATGCTGTAGCAGTACTGGCATTCCAAATTTTAACAGTTCAGTTATAAAACACAGAGAAGTTAAAGCTGAAAACATCAAACTCGTATTGTATCTCTTAAATACATTGCCAAATGAAATTACTATCCAGAAACTCATTAGTAGATGAGTTGCAAGTTTTAGAAGCGGGATACTGAAAATTGTCTTTTAATAGTCAGGCCAGACAGCTAAACATACAGTCTGATCTTTAGGTTAAATAATGTCTTTCATATGTAAAACATCAAGGAAATAAGACTGTTAGCTAAAGTAGCTATCTTCTAAAAGCTTTGTGAATGAAAGAGGAAAAGTCTGGTGAAGAAGTCTCTTTAACAGGATATATTTTCCTTAAGGAGCAACAAAAATCACAGCTACTCTCCCATACAGGTTAAACTCAAGTCTTTACTAATTTTCAGTTTCATCTGTTAGAAAAATCAGATGAAAAGAAGGGGTTTAGGTTCCTGAAGATTTTCCCATGTCATCCTATGAATTTTTGAAGGGCAAAATCAACAAAAAAAATAGGTTTAGAATGAAATTCTGGAAAGAAGGGTATTCTGGAAACATCATGTGTTTGGAAACACAATTAGAAAATATTCTTATTAGAGACTGCTGAGTGTGATTGATTGCCAGGGAACTTCCTGGCCTGAGTGTCTGCAGGGGTGTGATTGTCTGCTGGCTATTCACACTATTGTTAAGTGGAGAATCTAGATCACTTTAAGAAATTAGAGATGGATGGCTTTTGAAAGAAAATATTTGAAAATTTATTCCTTCATACTTCAGGTCTGATTTAAGAGGGTTTGGTTTTGCTCTGGTCCTGAATGCAAAGGGCAGTGGTCTGTTTGTGCACATTGTCTCCTTTGTTGGAGAGAAGGAAGACCTTTTTCTGAGGAATTTGCAGAACCAATGTTTTTAAGCCTGTCTAGCTGAGCAGCAAAAGAAACCAGAGAGACAGGTACTTCTGAATATGAAGTTATATAAATTCCTGCTCTACTTAAGAGGTGTATTAGACCAGTATAAGAGATCCCTCATAAACCATATTTCCCTTAAATCTCCAAAAGCTGTAGTTTATGGGAAATAAAACTATTTTTTCTTTGTTCATTGTTCTTACAGATGCCAAGATGAGTGTCCAGTGGGGACTTATGGAGTGCAGTGTGCCGAGACCTGCAAGTGTATGAATGGTGGGAAATGTTACCATATTAGTGGTGCCTGTCTCTGTGAACCAGGATACACCGGAGAGCACTGTGAAACAAGGCTTTGTCCTGAGGGAATTTATGGTCTCAAGTGCGATAAAAAGTGTCCCTGCCACATGCCAAATACCTGGAGGTAGGCTTTACACCCTTTAGCCTGTTTTCTTTTTCTATATAGAATATAGAAATCTGAATATAATCTGAAAATAAGTATTTCCTGATTTTTCTAGTACTTTCATGCAAACTGAAGCAGATAAAGACTTGTAAGACTATTTGGTATTTAACCATATGAAAAAAGAAAATATCAGCCCAAAAGAGCTTCTGAATTTTAGTGCTTGCAACTGTATTTGATCTTAATATTCACTGCTGTATTTGGTCTCTTACCCACGAAATAACTTTTAAGACAAAGTGTGGCCTTTGTCTATATTTACTGCCTGAATAAATCGTTATATTTTTCACCATACAAAGTCAGTATACATCACACATCCTTTGCATATTCTGGTGTACTGTAGATGAGAAATAACTGAATTGAAATCAGTTGAAATGGATGTATAGTCTTACAAGTCGGGCATGAGAGGAGAACCCAATTCTCTCTCTGTGTATACATATATAAGAATTGGTGTAGGTGACATTTGTATTTTAATACAAAATTTCCAAAGCCTTACCAGTTGTAAATCTAGGTTTCAAAAATACATTTTTTGTCATTTAAATTATTTTTCCAGAAAATTTTCTAGATTTTTTTTTCCCTAGGAAAAAAATCTATTTCTCTAGAAAGCAGGTAAAATCTGATCCCTGGAAATCAAATGAAAATGCTTTTCCAATTAGCTTACCTTTTACCATCTCTCCTTATTCAGGCAGTACTGAGTCTTATTTTTTGAGTTTTCTGTGTCTTTGTGGATTTTGCAGTGTTCCAGCATATTGTTATGAAAATTTAAAAACTAGCTATTTGGAGACAAACTTTCAGCCATGAGGGAGGAATGTCAGATGTCAGTTGAGGCAAGCCAACATATTTATAGAATAATTCTGGACAGCTTTGTCTTGTTAAAAACCACAGTTCTTCTGATTAAATACTTTGGTCATTGTGCATTCACTTACACATTCACTTACACTTAATTGCATTACTAATCACAGTACCTTAGATAAGGTTTTTGAGCATAATCTAACTTATTGCTGTTGAAAATGGCTGTGAAAGAAATTTGCAGAAACTATTGACTGTTGAATAGAATGCTGCAGTATGTTGTATATAAGATGCACTTTTCCTCATAGATAAAACAAAAGCCTTTAGTCAGAATTCAGCAGTGATGTTAAAAGCACTCAAGCATATACATGGAAATACCTATTCTGTTAGGCCTCTGTGAAAAATTACTTTGTGGATTGTCTGAGTTGTTCAACATGCCTTTCATTGGCAAACCATGTGACAGCAAACTGAATTCTTTTCCCTTTCCATTCATATACTTTTACAGTTATGTGCTTGCACTTCTGTTTTTCCCATTTACTTGAAATGTCTTTTGAAAAAATACAGCGTTTTTGACATAAAATCCAGCAATTCATTCTTTGGGCAGTGCATTCAAGAATAAATGGCACTATAATTCTGACCCATCTAGCTCTCAAATTATGCTAGTAGACCAAATACTATTGTATTATGAATTACGGTTAGCTGCTTTCCTGAAAATCTGTCTGAAGACTGTTGTAGCAGCCTTATTTGACAGGAATGCATTACACTGTACAGTATTTCTGATATTACAGGAATTACTTCTGATTCATGTTCAACACAGCTGTTCCTTCATTTATATCACTGGAAGACAACTTGTGGTCAAATCAGATCACAAATGTTCACATGTAAACACCAGCATATAGCTGGCCTTTTTTTGAACATTTTCCCTTCTGTATGACAAATCAAAAGGCACTTAACAGTCCTGTAGGTGCGGGAGCATATTTGCAAGGGCATAATGATCTGTGAGGAAAACAAAGATTTTCTTGACTTCACAAGTGGTTTTTTCATATATAGGTTCCTTCCCCCTTGGTCAGGAAGTGATTAAGACCACCACATAACAGAAATCAGAGGGCATCTGTGTAATGGTATAGAAGACAAAGCTCCCTGCAGAGACTTAACGCTTTTGAGAATCTTTTGAGAAGCCAGTTGTGTCTGGCTGTCTTTATCTCTCAGTAAATATCAATCAGCCAGGAGACAACTTTTTAAGCACATCAGGGAATACCCTCATCCCTTACTTGCCTACCACAAGTACTATTTGGGCTTGCAGTAGCCAGAGGATCTTCTTATAGCACTAACCCATTTAGCAGCAATGTAACAACCAATAATCCCAGGGCACGAGAAAGGGGGCATAATTCCTTCTTGAAATACACTTTGTGTGTCTGTAGGACTGGGATTCTGTTAGGACTTCTAGGGGCCTTGATATCCTAAAAGCTTTTTTCATCTGTGTGTGACCAGTTCTTTAGATATCCTCAAAGAGGAGCTGTTGGTAGGCTTAGAGCCCTAGGTTATTACTTACATTCTTATTATTCATAGATACAGAAATGAACTAGAGGTTAGTTAAAAAAATACTTAGCACCAAAAAATACTGCTGTAAAATATGTGTACATAAGTTGCAGTATTCAAGTATGTGTCTAGCAATTTTCTTCAAATAAAGATACAAAACCATTACGATACACCGTAGTTCAAAAACATATACATATTTCTGTTACTGTTTGATGATTGAGGAAATTGCATCAAAACAGCTTTGGCAATAATTTGTAATTTGCATTTTGGGTAGGCTAAGCTACAGGGATTTTGCTGCTGCTGTTGGTTGATGGCAGCTCCTGGGGATGAAAGGCAAACCCGTCTTTGTTCTTGGTTGTATCAGCAGCCTTTATTAGATGCTTCGTAAAGGGTTAGTCATAGATATACTTAAGAGATTTTATTCTTTCTGAAGGGTCCAGAGGACAGCAGCAGGTAACAGCCCTCTTGTGCCATGGTTATTCTCTATTGCATTTTTTGATAGATATATGAAAGGATTTGAGCAAGAGTGCAGATCAGAAACAGACCTCTGTTCTCTGTGACTAGGTGACACTATTGATTTTTCCGTTTTTACTTAACAGTCAAGAAAAGAAATAGAGTGAGTGCTAGGTGGCTGAGACTAAGACCACATAAACCACACTTCCTCAGTGGGGTACAACAGCAGCTCTGTAAGCTGGTATGAGCAGACCCATGTGTCCCTGCCACTTCCATCCACAGTTTGTGGGGCTTACAGAAACTTGTCATTCTGAAGATCCGGTTTGCAGGAATAAGAGAAAAAGATCTCAGTCTGCCTTCATCAATGTTGTCACTTCATTTTGTACAGGAATGTTCTTCTAGCCTAAACCACTTTTAGACTGGGTTTTGTCATGCCTTTACCCAGGTGACACCTGATGATCATTCAGAAAATGTAAAAAAGGCAGACTGTAGCTGCGTATTTACCTAGAAGGTTTACAAAAGATATTTGTTACACCTGTGTTACAGCATATGCACTGGTTTCAGGTTGATCTCCAAGCTAAATTTGAGATGTCCCTGGGTTTTTTTCTTGTAAGCTTTTTCTGGTGATCTTCCACCACTGCTTTACACCTGTAGGTAAGATCAACTGAGGTCATTCTGTATGACCATCTAATTTGGTATAGTTCAGGCTGGAATTAGGTTTTATTCATGACATGAGCTCTAATTGGGTTTCTTTTGTCTCAGCCTTTTTCTGAGATACATATATAGGGTCAAGTGGAATTCTATAGTGTCATACATGCTTAGTTCATATAGCTTGGGTGTGTTTTTAAAGTCAAGATTAGGGCATCTTGCAATTTTGCATTTTTCTAATGGACTTGTACGTACACGTACAAGAGCTTTTCATGGAAATTTTATATTGCATAGGGTGCTACAGAACTTAGTTGGGTATTGTAATAGTGAAACACCTATATAAATCATATGAAAATCATTAAGTTCATCTAAGTCCTTCAAATATATAGTATCAACTACCCAGAAGTATTTTTTTTGTCTCTGTACAGAGTAAGGTTGTATTTCCAGAAAGTGTGAACAAAAGACCAGGAATAAAAGCAGATGTACTGGCAGTTATCTTTCAATATCTCTTTATTTCCCTATCTTAATATATAAATCTTATTGCCAATTAAGCTAACTGCATGAGAACCCATCAAAAAGCTTCAGAAGTGCTCCAGCTTCCTACATCTAATTACAAACTACGGAATACTAATTTTGGTGTCAATCAATATATGTGCAAGTATGCCTTAGCAACACTCACTGGGGGGCACAGAATATCAATGCCTCTGCTTCATACCCATGCTTGCTCATGTGTGTGGTCTCCCCCTCTCCTGAAATGAAAAAGACCCAACAACAAACAATGCTGGGATTTATGTCTTAAAATGACAGAACTACTAATTTTATGTCGTAAATATATTCTAATTCATATCCTAATGACTATTCAGTTGTGGATTGAAAAATCTTTTCATATACCCTGCCCTGTATTTTCCCACTGATAAGAAACATGGGAATTGGATCCAAATGCCACTGGGTGCCTACAGGAAGTTAATAGGGGACAAATCTGATTATCTTGCTGCATTATGTATTTTCATGATTTTGCATGTATTTTATATAAGAATAGTTCCATTTCCACTTAGTTCATGGCAGGTATACTTATAACTGAACAAAAACCCGGGACTGTTGACAATGAACATCATGAGTTTTGAAGGATTTCTGCATATATCATTTAGTTGAAAAGACCCTTCCTCTCACTTTGTGTAAACCAGCTTAACTGTCCAAGAGATTTTATCTTCAAGAGCCCCAAATCCTTATGATGTCATAGTCTATACAACAATATATGGAGAGCAGAATGCATGATGATATTCCAACCTTTATAATTCATACTTTCCTTGATCAGCAATAAGCTGTCAGTTGGTTGTATCTGGCAATAAGAAACTCTTAGTTTGACAAGAGTAGTCCTCCAGTCCTGGAGCAGTTGCAACTAATATTGCGTTCCCTTATTATGTTGCAACTTTTTCAAAAAATATTGTTGTTACTTAAGTTACAGCACCTAACAAACTTTCAAATGGTCAGAAGAATACTCAGTTTCAAACACACCCCCGCACAAGGAATCAGCAATCTTGCAAAATCAAGCTCCTGTCATGGGTCATTTAATGTGTCTGGATGAAGGCACGTTTTTTTTCCAGCACACTTAAAGGAATTTCACTTCAATCAGTGGCAGACAAATATGTTTAAACAGTCTTCCCATTGTAAATGTATTGGATTTGGATATTAGGGCTTTCCTTTGGTGAGAATTAAGCAAGTGCTTTGTCTGCCAGAGTGCCACAGAGTACCCCATTGTGTCCACTTTTCCAGCACATATATTTCTGCACAGCTGATGATGTCCATTTGTTATGAGGCAACAGCTGTCTGACTGGTCCTTCAATGAAACTGCTGTTCCAGGTAGGGACAGCTGGTCAGCCACCAGGTATGGCCAACATATACTTTCCAAAAGGTCACTGCTCTGATGGTGTATCTGACTTCTGCCCAATGCAAATTATTTTGTATCATTCCCGAAAAGATGCCAGTTGTCCTCTTTTCAACCAACTATTTAAAGAAAAGAGCATGCTTGCTACTCATTGGGCGCTGTGTTATTATTTTGTGTTGGATGCCATGCTATTTTACTGAAGCATCACATTTCTCAGACAACGTGCTGCTGAGTTTGGGCAGTGTTATGAAAATGATCCTATTATACTTGGAGTGGAAACCTAACGATACATTTTGGGGAATTTTGTGGTTTCATCACCTTAATATTTGTAACCATGGGTATCTATTTTATGGTAAAAACTATGTTTCAGATAGGTTACTTTTCAACTAGCTTTCCATGTCCTCCCAAAATGTCTATATGTTGTATGGTTACATTTTTTAACTGCCATGCATGTATACATACCTACACAGAACCCTTTGCTTTGTGGTTTGGGGAGTAAAACCATTTCTATGCATAGCATGCAAGATCCTTTATGCAACCTATCTATAACAGCATTTTGTTCTCTGGAAAAAAAAAAAATATCGATGTCATGTTTAGTCCTGAATTATTTATCCTCTCATCCCCTCCTGGCAGCTGTCACCCTATGTCTGGGGAATGCTCCTGCAAGCCCGGCTGGTCTGGGCTCTACTGCAATGAGACGTGTTCCCCGGGATTCTATGGCGAGTCATGTCAGCAGATCTGCAGCTGCCAAAATGGTGCTGACTGCGATAGTGTGACTGGAAAATGCACCTGTGCCCCTGGATTTAAGGTAAATAAGTCTCACAGTCCGTTTTCGACTCCATTGCCTTTAGTTAAGTGCCAAATTCTTCAAGATGCCAGAGCGTCCTTTCTCCATCACAGTAAAAGAGAGGCAAGGATATTTACGTACCACTGGGTGTGTTACAAGATAAGACCCTGAAAAGGCAAAATTTGTGATTGGTTCTCAGTACTGAAATGAAGCCAGTTTAAGAAAGAAAAGTTAGTTGCTTTATAAGATATAGATAAGAATGAGGGTGTGCTGTTGAGGTGTAAATAAAGGGAGGAACGATAGGTTTCAGTCATTATCTTGATGCACCAACTCCTCATGCTCCATCCAGAGAAACTCTAGACAAAGACATTTGTTTTTACAGTTCAGGACAGATTATTCTGCAGCTTTTACACACATTTGCTGTTACCTGTGCATTGGATGCTAATCTAACACAGAAAACATTTAACAGTATGACTGTTCTAGGAATAATAACTGTGAAAACTTCATCCAAATTAATTCTTAAAAATATTTTACATATCCACATTATTTTCTATTAAACTGCTGTCTTACCATGTTTTGGTTTCATAAAGGGCTTCTTTATTACTGAAAATACTGTCCATTGATCTAACCAAGAGCTGTTAGCTATGTCACCTGAGCTCTCACAGCAGCTCATGGGAAAATAATGCTTATTGTAGACTTAAAAACCATGAAGAACTCCCTCTCCCTTAAATTCGGGATAACTTAATGACAGTGTAGGACAGCCATGGGCTGTATGTTTTCTGGCTTTTGTAGCACCTGAGTCAGACCAGGTCATTTATTAGTAGTATTGTCTGAACCTCCTCAAATATTTTTTAGACTCTATTTTTGTGTAATTCAGGGTGCTGCTTGTGGTACTCCTTGTCTTTTGGGGACATACGGCGTAAACTGTTCGTCTGTGTGCAACTGCAAAAATGAAGCCATCTGTTCACCAGTAGATGGTTCTTGTGCCTGCAAAGCAGGTAAGTGTCTCTATAGATTAATTTTCTTTTTCTGTAATCATAAAGTGAAATTGAGTTTTTGAAATAGAGAAGAAGAAAGAAACTTAATAAAAAGCAGACCACATTGAAGGCCATATCACTAGATACTTTATGCTTCTGCTGTTCTGGGAGGCGAAAACTAGGAAAACATCTGCTCAGAGAAGAGTGCGTGTACCTCGTGTTCATGTTTCCTTGATGCAGTTCTCAGTGGGCTGGATACTGTTGCCGGGTGAATTATGAGTGTTTACTCTGAGATGGACCACCACTTGTGTCTGGTGGCAGTGCTATGGTCTACTAGAAGGACTACTGTATACCATTTATCTGATGTCAGCTGTCCTAGTCAAAATAGCCTTGTTTCCCCTCAGCCTGGGTGAGCACACCTCTGGCTGCCATCCTCGCCCCTCTCAGCATCACAGAGGCACAGGCTTCTTCCTGCCAGTTTAGCACTGACATTGATACCTACCGGCAATTTTTTCTATTCGAATACTCTTTTCCTCAGCAATTCTCTGACAAAACCTTGCCTAAACCCCTTCCCAGCCTATGCCTTCTACTGTTCCCTGCTTCCACAAGAAACTTTCTGAATCTCCCAGTATTAGTGTGAGTGGACTCATGCTCCTTGACCCCTCTGCCTGGCTCTCTCTTCCCAACAGTAATTTTGATGGTCTACGTACCTCCACCAGAAGCTGTATGTGCCTGACCACCTCTCCATCTCCCAGTAGCACATGCCTTTGGCTGGAACAAAGATACCTGAGACATCCTCCAGCGCTGGTTCTGCAGAGATCTTTTCCCATATAGCGGTCTACAGGTCCACATGGTGTTCCTGTTCATTGCAGAATATGCTACTAAACTCCACTTAAAGATCTGCTTTTGCAGTACACCTGTTCTCTTTTCCACTTCTTCTGTGAGGAAGGATTTGAAGTCCAGCATCCCTCAGTTGTGATGCTGGGTTGCTGAGAAGAGAGGGGCTGTTGAATGCTCCCAAGCAAATCGTGTACCCAGTCCATGTTGTAGACACTGCTGTCTAAAAATGTTTTTCTAAAAATAGATGATGGTTGAGATGGGGGAAGTGTTAGAGTTACCTAGAAAAATAGCCACTAAACTTGTCAGGGACTGATACAATTAAATCAGTCGTGTAGCAAATGTGGACGTTTCCAACTTCTACTCTCACTAGAGACAGTGGAGCTGATTTAATTCTCTTAAAGTAGCTGAGTAGCTACTGCTAAATAGCTAGGTTGTAAGGAGAAAAACTATTCCTTGAGCCATGTATTATCCTATCTTCTTGTGCATTGTGCAGTTTTAATCATACTACAATGAAAAAGGACAGCAAATTGTGAGGTTAAACTAAACCCAGATACTTGTCATGTAAATGAAGGAAATTTATAAATTCTGGAAAGTCACTTGAGACAAAGTGTCTCAATTTTCTAGCTAGAATAGTATAACATTTTTTCCTGAAATGACCCCTAAATTCAAAGTTATCAATCCAGGGCACGAGGCAGCTTCATTTCTATACATGTGTTTTGCATAGGCTATTGATTAAGCTTGGTGCAGAATTATTTTTCCCTTCGCTTACTGTAAACAAGGTACAAAATTAGAAACTTGGCTTGTGTCATTGCTGATGATAACGTATGACTGGCTCATGCCATTTCTCTTGTATCCAATAGGTGATCACATTTTTAAAAATCTATTTACATTTCTGTCTATCCAGTGCACAGTCTACGAATCATTGCTATCAGGCATAATCAGTTGTGAATGCTGCATTTTAGAACCATTTTCCCTTACATTCTTTTTTGTATTTGAAGAGAAGCACAAAAATAATCTAAAAGGTCTTCTGCGTATCCTTGGAGAAATCTGATTTATACACTACTTTTATGTTTTCACTGGTTTTTTTCTGTCTAAGATTTCTGTTAAAACCGTATTGCAGAACTCTCTGTATTGAACACTGGTGGAAGAATTATGAAAGCAGCAGCTTAAGTCTAGGGAAAATATTCTTTATTTCTTATATTCAGGCTATGCCTTAAAACTTTCAGTATAGTTTAGTCCTTCTCAATGAAATTTCAAGGTGTCCCTGTTTTCATTTCAGATTTCCCATCAATTGCTTTTGTATGTTGGCATGGCACCCATCTGCAAATGTGTGCTGTGCACAGATGTTACAAGGTGCCCTTGAGCACCTTTGTTCAAACCCCAACAAGTCCTCAGCTGAAATTGCTGATACTAGCCTGTAGTTAACGTTAGCCCGGTATTGTGCATCTCTGAGAGATGCCACATGGTAGGCGGAGGGAAACATGTCCTCAGAGAGGAATGAGGGAAAACCTGATTAATTTGTCACTTTAATTCTTATACTTGGCAGGTTGGCATGGTGTAGATTGCTCAATAAATTGTCCCAGCGGTACCTGGGGACTTGGCTGTAACTTAACTTGCCAGTGTCTTAACGGAGGGGCTTGCAATGCTCTGGATGGAACCTGTACCTGTGCCCCAGGCTGGAGAGGAGAAAAATGCGAACTCCCTTGCCAGGTAGTTTAATAATTTCACTGATTTTTGCACTGTAGGATAATACTGGGCAGGAGGACACTCCTGACATTCTTCTGACTTCATGGGGATAAGTCCCTAAGGAACACTGCACCTGATAGCCCATATGCTACTGGGTTCAAGATCAGGAACATGCACCAACAATTCTTCTGGAAGAACTCTGCTGTGCAGCACACCAAAGAACACAAAAAATGACTACACAAAATGAAGATGCACAGATGAACACTTTTTCTGCTTTCATACTTTAAAGTTGGACCTCAAACTTTTCATCAGCTCCTTTAGAATTTCTTGAAAAACACACATATATTACAATATAATGGTGAAGGAATCACCTGAACTGAACATAAACCTTGTAGATTCCCCTCCCATATCACATTCAAGCTTCTGTCAGTTTGGACTAGCTCTACTGAGCAATAACATGATAGGAATAGCTGAACTACAAAGTAAGACTGGAAACCATGCCTCTGTTTTGAATGAAAATTTGTTCTGTTGAATTGCTCTTGGAATACTCAGAAGTGATTTTTGGGCATTGTTTTTGCTTTTAAGATGAGGCATAGCATACACTGATATAGTGAGTAAAGTGGCAAACAAATTCTAAAATTTTCTGGAAAGCTGATTAGAGTACCATCTGTGCACGTTTATGCAGTGCATGTCCATCAGAAGACTAATTTTTCTTTTTTCTAAAGAAGCTTTATTTATCACTTAGTGTCTGATTCTGAAGGATGATGAGATCTCCCAAGCTCCATTAGCTCTTCCAAAACTGGCTTATTAAAAAAGATAGGTATTGCTTCATGGCATTTGCTTCACTGTTCCAAATATAGCAAAATAATGCTTAAAAGCATTTCTACATCAGATAATTTAGCATGCCCATGCTCATTGTCTTGCTCTTGCTCTCTCTGTGTCAAATGATGTCCACAAGCATTTACATGTTTAAAAGGCATGTTCTGCCTCAAAATTCCAGAGCAGGAGAATAAACAGAAAACTAATGCAAATATGTCCAGTGTTGTCTGATTTTCTTCTTGTTTGAGCAGAGAGTTTATTTAAATCAATCTATTTCAATTTGTTTAAATAACTTCAGAAAATTAATATCACTGCCCAGGTTGTTGCTCAATATTTGACTGAAATTTGGACTCCAGTCCAAAAGGACCACTTTTCAACAACATATTCGAGGACTTCCTTTCTTTCCAAATCTGATTATATGCAAAGGAAATTCTTAATCTTTTCTTTTTTTTCATATAAAAATGTATTGTTGAAATGAGCAAAAGGCTCCTTATACACGAGTAATGTAAGATTTTGTTCTACTTTAGACTTGAAAGACTGGGTATTGAATAGCTAAATTCTGTGGAACTCAGTAGAAATGTAGGCATGAACATCAAAGAACAGCGGATGAATTTTCATATAGGTTTTATTCTGATTTTTAGTGTGACTGAGAACAATTTTTAGCCTCAAATTTAAATGATTGGGTTTTAAATCTGACATGCTTTTTCCTTTTTTGCCTTTTGTGTGGGTAACCCCACAGCCAAAACCTGACCTTTTTCATTGTTTTTTAATTTGGTTTGTAAAGATTTTGCACTTTTCAGTTCCACAGATTGATTTTTGTATGGAATTACCCCCAAATGTATGTGCCACCTTCTACGGAAGAAGCAGAAAAGGCAAATTCAAATGTTTAGAAGTAGCTCCATGAAAATCAGCTGTGCCCTTTTGGCACAGCTGAATACACCAAGAGGAATGTTCAACTTGTAACTTTATTTTCTCTTGTTGGTTCAAAAAATGTTGCATAGTGAAATAATAATTTTGTTTTGTGTACTGTCTCATAGCCAAAGAGCTTCTCTTTTTAACATAGTATATGCTGTAGTGCAGAGGGAAGGATTTTTAATCAAGAGAGTGATACGGTTTGCATTGTTTTTGCAATAAACTTCACACTGAAGATGTATTTTAATATAATGTTTTACTATTCTTTTTTAGAAATTGTGGCTCTGTGTGGTATCCTTTTTGACCAATACATAAAGACCTCAGGATCTGAGACAGAAAGGAGACTGAATTGCTTTCCCATCAAGGGACTCGCAGGTCTTGGAGTAGGAACTCAGCTGTTAGGGAAATTAGAGGGACAGTACAAGAAAGCCTTCACTGCAGCCTCTGATAGTGTAGGTTACTGTGTTCTGAAACACCATCTCCAGCTCCATTAATCTGGGATTTTTCAAGGGAATGTAATTAATTCTTTATCATCCCCTCTTAAATGAAAGACTGAAAAAGTAGGACCCTAAAATGTTACAAAAGACAGAAGCTTTTTATATTAAGAAAGCAGATTACGGATTCAGGAGAGATCTGTGGTTGCTTTTTGAGGCAGGACTGACCAGAACTTGTTCTCTTCTAACTACCAGTTGTCGTCATCTCTGGGCTGGTTTTTTTTTTGTTGCCACAGGACGGCACGTATGGTATGGATTGCGCTGAACGCTGTGACTGCAGCCACGCAGACGGCTGTCATCCCACCACGGGTTACTGTCGCTGTCTGCCGGGATGGTCAGGTACAAAAGAGACTGTTGTGAAGGTCAATGAGAGTTTCCACTATGGTGGGACTTGGTCTTGCCTTTCGGTTTTGTGGGTAGAGGAGGAGTATGTGGGGTTGGAAGGAGAAAAGGGCCAATTCTGTGGCTGCTGTTTCCCTTCTGTGATTCACAAGTGTGGAAACTTTGTTGAGCATGGGATCTGCAGAAAACTGGGAATAGAAGGGGAAATCTTAAAACTTGGGTGCCTCCTCAGTATGATTCCTTATGAAACTGGTGAATAGCTGTAAATATTCAAGGCTGTGCTGGCAGCTTTGATAGGTAAAGCATCGCATCCAGGAACTCAAAAAGCTTTGCTCAGGTAGCCAAAAAGAGGATAAATTGTGCAGAAGCTGTGCTGCCATTTCTCAAACTTTTGCGAAAATTACGTTTCTCTGCACATACATAGTTCTGTGTGAAAATTGTTGCACTTTTTTCAGAGTTTCTCCAGCATTTCCATGTTTTCAAGAACTATATATTTATTAATTCATCAAAATTTGTGTTTGGCACTGTTGTTGTACTCTCTCGTTTGTGGAAAGCAAGTTTTTTTGAAAATATGACAAAACTATGCAGAAGGGCAAGCTATCATGAAATGTTCCCTTTTTCTCTAGGAAGTAGTTTTAGTTCTCACATAGATTTTTAAGTTCCAAATTTTGGGAAAACTTGGGAAGACTCTTCCATCTTCAGTAAGGATTAATTAATTGACACTATAAATTTGCCCCTCTTGGAGTGTTCTGGGCTTTGTGTCTCACTGTGATACTGTAGTTTTGTGAGGGTCAGGTTTCATGTTACCTGTCTGTATGGACTCCTTCCATTTAATAATGGGAAGTCAGCATGAAAAACACACCTTAAATGAACAAAGCATGTTTCAGCTGTGAAATGGAGATATTTTTTTTTGTGATTTCAGGTAGAACCTAGTATTATTTATTATCCACTCATTTGTAAGTTAATATTTTCCCTAACTGACAGCCAGGTTCATGATATAACTGTTTTCTTTTTTCTCTGGTGCTTTCAGACATAGTAGATGGAGGTGAGCAGACAGTCTGCAGCAAGTAATTTATTTGACAAGCTTAGCAAATCATTGTGCTCACAAAAGTTTGTGTAGCACTTATGACTTCTTCAAATAGAGTCTTTACTGAGTTTTTTCCAAAACTTTGATTTATATATGCCTTTTTTTTGGTAGCTCTGTAGATGGATCACAGGCATTTTGTTCAAAGTACCTAACGCTCTGTGTCTACAGTTCAGGTTGACTAGTTGCAGTTGATTACAGCTTACCTGGTGTTTTTTCTACTTTCTGTTCTAATAAACATGACTTTTATTATTATTGGGGGGGTGGGGGGGTGTAGGAAGAGGAAATCTGTAGTGTATACAGAACCCATTTATTATTTGTGCAATTTGTCTGTATATTAAGCTTCTGCTAAGTTCTTTGAGAACGCCTGTCTCACTGTTGTGTCTTCCCGTTGTCACCCTTTTTGGTGTGAAGGAGAAAGGCTTCCAGAGCCAGCACTCACCTAACTGAGCCAGGAGTTTGTGGGTTTTATTTTCTTGCCACAAACTGCAGTGTGACTTACCATCACCCACTCAGATACCACTGGGAAATGACTACCACAAGAGTGCAAAAATAATTAAAGTTATTTGAGCAAATTATGAAAAAATACTATTAGCCTTATGCCATCTATTGCTGTTTTGTGAGACACTACTTTGTGTTTATTTTGTTATGTTGTTAATGGCCTTTGATGACTGTTCTTACTTTCAGGTAGTTTCAAGTAATTTTGTGTGTGTGTGTTTGGACACACTTTCTCAAACTTATATTTGGATCTGCTCAAAATATGATTTCTTAAATTAATAAATGTATTAAGCAAAGAATACCCACATTAAAAACATGTGAACAGTTGCTGATCTTGAGCAACCATGGTGTAGGCAGTTAGAGCCGTTCACAAGTTCCAGATGTACTCAAAATACATATTGTGAGTTTTCTAAAACTGAGACAAATCATCAGAGACCAAAAGTATGTTAATGAATGAAGCCAGATTAAAATAGATAGTTTTGAAAGGCCATACTAAAAATCCAGCAACTTTTTGTAACAGGTTATAAAAATTACCTAGCCAGTGTGGTATAACTGACCTGGGATGTGACAAAGGTTTCAAGCATAGCACAAACCCTGACTGTGCTTGAACCAAGGTATTGAAAAGGAGACAATATTTTTGCTTCAAGTGAAATCTTATTTTGTCTTCATATTTAGAAGGAAAAAGATTTCACTAGAAGGAGACTTCATGTGCAATTATAGATAAAACTGAGTATCCATGCATGGATGACGTTAATGGCATTTACACAACAGCGTGTGTAACAAACTAGTTTCAACATGTTGGTGATGTCTAGACACACAATTTGACATAAACGGCATAGTTTGCTTTATACCCAGTGTCTGGAAAAATCCTCCTCCCACACTTCACATGTCAGAGAAATACCCATGAGGAATCTGGTCTTTGTGTAGATACTTATATTTAGAATGATCAAAAAAAGGAGAGAATACTTTAGAAACAGGTTCTCAAATAGCTGTACTGTAATGTTACATTGCAGAGATAGCATTAGATTGTAGGATTAAGAAGAGAGGTTGTATACATATTTATATGCATAATAGGTGGAGAAGCAGATGGAGGATTTGTGAAAATATAGGAAGGTACTAAAATGCAACAAATTATGTTAGAATAGCTTAGATTTTTCCTGTTACATTTGTTAAAGTAACCATCAGACTTACGAGGGTTTGGTAGTTAGTGTTACCTACCAAAAAAAACAAAGAGAAAGAGAAACTGATTTTTGGATCAGTCTAATACTTATCTAACCCAAATGAAGGATTTACTTGTTTAAAAACCAATGGGTAGGTAGTGTTAAAAAATAAGTACATTTGAAGAAGCTTAAAAAGGTGAGTTTGTGAGTCTTTTTTCTTTTTCAACAAGAATAAATTGATGAATCCAAGGTGAACTTCCCCAAATGTTTTGATGCCACCAAAATTATATAAAGTTTCTGAAAAGATATTTTAAATGCAATGTTTTTCTCAGCCCTGTGAACAGAGCAGTTGTCTACGCTTTCCCCAGGGAATTTCATTAGAGGGAATAGTTTATATAACTTTGCAGAAATAAATGAAGGGTGGAAGAATTTTCCCTTGCCGGGTAACACAGTTGTACCATAACGCTGGGGAACAGGAAACATGCTGCATGTTGAGGGGGGGTCACTGGCCCGACGGGTGCTGGGGGAGCTCTGAGCTGCTGAAGGGGGCACAACTGCTATTCTCGTGTATGAAAGGGCAGCCTAGCTAACATGCTACCCTTTAGTTTAGTCTTAAGATAGAGCTGCAGCTGAGCACTGGGTCAACAACAAGATGCTATATGGTTTAGGTTTTTTAAGTAGTTTTTTCTCTATTTTTTTAACATGCCCAATGTATTATCTTTTGCTCCTTACATCCTAGTTATGAACGAGAGTGTGAGTTCAGTTATTGACTATTGCGTTGTCATGAGCTGTTATAAAAGTCAAGAAATAATTAAGATTGGTTTTAATTAGGTTCTGTTTTAATTTAGGGTTTCTGTTTTTAATTTAGGTTCTGTTGCCTAGGACGACACTTACATTTTTCATCCTAAACAAAACTGACTTTGTTTATAGGACACCTGTTAGAAATTGTGCCCTCCCTGTAGTTTACACCAAGTGCTCCCTGTACAGCAGCTTAATTCTGCTTAGAAAAGCAAGAGTTAAGGGTGATGTTTTTGTCCTGGTAATCTGACCATTCCATCATGTTCCAGGAGCCACATGACAGGATGGCACAAATGAGAAACATTTGCCCACACAGAGGATAATGTCTGCCCAAACACTCTCATCCCTTGACATTTTCACTGTATCTTATAAATAACTTTTCTTCCTTTGGAGGGTGCGCAATAGCTAGACAATGGAGAAGAGTAAGAACCATTAAAATAAAAAGTGGAAGAAAGACACAGAAAATGCACTCCCCCAATAGGGAACGATAAGTAATTCTCCTAACAATTTATACCAAAACTTTAAGCTAATTTCCATTAAAAGCCACCTCTACCAATTCTCTCAATGACCACAATCCAGCAAGCACCACCGTAACTGTTAATTTCATCCCTTAATCTTATCTGTTCTGCAAGCAGCTGTCAAAATACAGTTTTTCCAAATTGCCTAAAAGATTAGAGAATTCATATTCTCGCAAACTGAGATTTCGCATTAAAGCATTGTAAAAAGGGCAAGGGTTATTGTCCAGACAGTTTATTTATTACTGTATTACAGTGATGTGGGTGTTACTGGTAACACATTACTATTGTGCTTTCTTGGGTGCAGTTCTGCCGGACCTTTCTGTTTGTGAAGAAATGTCATGTCATACTGATACGACATTTGTTATTTTTAAAATCAATTTAAAGGTTGTGCAGTGCCAAGGATTGTGAAATACCACTAGTCTGCTAGCTGTACCAAAACAATAGCATTGGTTTATGGAAAAGACAGATGCAGTAATATCAGCCTACATTTTACCAGCGTGCATAGTATTCATCCATATGCGACAGCAGATAGGGAGCTGGTGACTTTTTGCTGTGCCGGACACCTGCTGACACTAGTCAGATTGCCCATCACCAGACGTATTGTTTCTGTGAGGAAGTGCTGTGTCTTTCCATGTGCTCCTGACGTTATTTCTAAGAGGCACATTTGTTGCTGGATTATAACAGGGAGGACTGTCATCTGACACCCACCCCACTGATGCAAATAACCAGGTCCCCTGGGAAGCATGAACTAGAACTCTCCCTTGCTCCTTAGCTTTTAATGCGTGCATATTTTTTACCCCTCCTACATAGAAGAAAAATACTTTTATAAAGGAGTACTGTCATGGGTCTCCCTTACCTTAAGACTGAGAAATGAGCTGCTGCTGGAACAGCATGTGTGATGCTGGTGCCCCATTGCACCCAAGCCAAGAACCTCTTGCAAGAAACATGAGTTTCCCTCAACCTTGGCCAATTTCCCCTGGGCTCCTGAAGCACAAGGTCCCATTGTGATGAATAGCCAGTGAGCCGCAAAGTGAAATTGTATGTGGCCACTGTGTCATGATAAACAGCATATTTACTTTCCAAACTTAGGGAGATGAATCCTTCAATAAGATGTCTGGCCTACCCTGTGTCTGGACTTCACTGTGTCTTTATCTCTATTTCCTATGGATTGTGGTGGGTCTTTACGTGGAAGAAATACGACTCTTTTAGAAGAACTTTAAATCAGTAGATTAAATGCATTTATTTTCTACCTATCAAGAAGGTAAGAAAAGGAGAAATACTATTTTCTTATGACTAAAAAAAATGAAAAGAAGAGCACCATTGGAGTGGATAACAGTATGTAGCAACAGTACGGCCTTCAGAAAGATACTGGGGATATCTCAGAAGTGATTCTTCCACTAAAATTTGCAGATACTGATGTTTGCCTTCAAACTCTGGTACAGCACTGGTTTTGTTGACAAGCTTTTGTAGCTGGCTTCCTACCAAAACTTGCGGCTGCAAATTCTCCTGCTGCTGCAGTGAAGAAGCAGCAGCCTGAACTTCTAGAGAAAAATCTTTGATCCTTTCATTAGCTCCTTAATTTGAGACACTTTTATTTAGTCTTCTGGCTATCTTCAACTAGGGAGCAAGGTACTTCCCTTAAAGACAGTGAGAGTACTTCTAAATAGTGCCTATGAAGTTTTTCACCACTTCCCTGTGCTGTTTCTCCCCTTTCTTTGGGCTGCTTATCCAGCATTTGACAGAGAAGAAGGGAAGCAATTCTCACCATCAGAAGTCTCAGCTTCCTTGAACAGAAGTGATCTAGTGTTTTTTTTCTCTTAAATATGAAGGGTGAGATCTTGGACCATAATGGATATGTATCATTAGCTTTAATGACATCAAGATTTCCACAGGTTTTGAGGGATTCATCATTTTCTTGTTTAGGCTGTTGTATATGCAGTTTAGCTCTGACATATGGGAAGTACACCAATATACAAATAGGTTTTAATTCTGAGAGACTATACTGGAAAGTTCCATGTGTTGTGAAGATAAATTGTATAGCAAATACATGTTCTTTATGAAAAAAATTATTTTTAATGTTTGGATGGCTTTGTATCAGACTAATGGAAACATAATAAGCTGGAAAATAGCACTTAGTCCAATAATAAATTTGCCTGGGAAGATTGTTAGAAATAATTGATAGATTTTTTTCCCCTTCGAGTGCTAAAAGAAATTAGCTCTCCATTGATCTGACTTGGATGGATCATTGAGTCTCAACTTAAAAATATAGCATAGGGAGTATGTAAACACTCTGCTAGCATGGGCGGAAACACTGGTATCCCTAAAGAAGTATTTACTTCATTCATGCAATTACGAATGCTGGGGGAATGCTGATTTAGATGTGAGGCCCCCAGCATAAAGCACTGGGCATTAAATGCATGAGCATTTCTTCAGAGCAGCTTAGCTGAAGTTTATCATGACCATTCAGCTATTGCCTAGCAACTTGTGAAGGCCATCAAAGAGCTCTTTGTCCCTAGCTCTGGCAAAAACATCTCCTCACAGATATCCTTATCAGTATTAAAATCAACATGAAAACTTATCAGAAACAACTTTATTGCATAAGAGACTAATACTTACTTGAAATTGTGGCAATCATAAGCCAGTACACTGTTGATACCATTGTTGTAAAAGCTAAGCCTAATCTTGCTTTGTAAGTTCTAGTAAAAATGTTTCTTTTTCCTCACTAATTTCTAGCTTTTCTATAAAAGCATAGCTTGCTTTGCTGAAATTTCATATAAAGCATCAGAGTCTGGAAAATTCTTATTTTTCAATCCTTTTAATATTTCTAATCTATTCCTTCTCAAAAATACATGTATTTGATTTATACAGCTGTAAGATGTGAAAATCAGTTTCTCATTTTTAAGTGACTTGTGATCTTATCTAAATAACAGTGAATGAGTGAGATTTAAAGCTTTTTATAAGTAGAGATGCAATACGTCACAAAATGAATTTGTATTCTGCTTTACTACATTCATTGTTGACACACACAGGAGTGAAATTGATTTTGCTTATGATCAATGGTGAATATAATAAAATTCCTTTTATAGTGAAACAGAAGTACTATTCAGCACTTTTTCAGTATATTATATTGTCATAATTGTTATTCAGTGATATTTAGGATACACTGTTTCTTTGCTAAGTAGAGGGGTATCATTCTTCACCTGACTACCTCTTCATAGGGGGTGAAAGTGGGAAAGGAAAGGTCATTTTTCCAGTTTCTGTAATGCATAATTTTCCCTGTTATGTACTGGGGGAACTTTTTCCTTTTTCATTTTTAATGGTAGTTGTTGGCACTTTTAAGTATTGTGGCTCTATGCAGCATGGGGCCCATTATCTTTTCTATCCCAATGTGCCCAGTATCACCCTTTGACACTATGCTGTCATAAAGCATCCTCTGTGCACAGATCAAGACGATATAATTGAGCCTGGTGTTATTGTATGTCACTGGTCTGCATAATCTCTGATAATGCACTATGGTAACTCTTGGCAACCACTGACTTGTTAATAGTGACCATTGTATACTGAACACCACTGAAACCCATCAAGACTCTGTGAAAAATGTCTTTTCTTTAGCAGGGTTCACTGAGTGTATGATATGACAGATAACACTCACGTGAACAGAATGCCAGACTTAATTCTGAAATGCTCTGCATGTGTCTGCTTACGCTTTCACAGACTTACAAACCCGAGTTTGCAAATTTGGGAACCTCAAGCAGAGCAATCTTATGTGTCTGAAATAAGTGGTCTTGTTTCTAAAAAAATGCTGTGATCTCATCCTGCTCATGTGCATCAGCATCTCTCAAAACCAAACCATTCTTTTTTATCTATTTATCCACAAATCAGGAGTTAATGAAAAAGTTCACCCAGGCTACTGAGAAGCAAGTCTACACTGCCTCTCAAATGTAGATGAAGATAGAGGAATGACATTGCCTATGCAGGCAAAAATGGAAAAGTAATGATATAAGAAACCTTTTAATTTTCTTTACAATAAATTTGTTTTAGGTCAGTATTAACTAGTGATCATTGTACAGTTAGGGCTTTTAGGTGGCGTGTGTACTGTCTGCTGCTGATTAGCCTCTGGATTCTAAAAGGCAAATGTTTTCGCTCTTGCTGGTGTTGGTGCAATCCGTTGAGCCACATATTTGATTATTCCATCTGTTGATTGTCTTGCAGAGAAACAAACAATTTGAGAGTATGGAGCTTCACCTTTCCTCTATTTAGAGAGTTAGTCTTTGGATATAGGCAGCTTTACATGGCACATGCTGTGGGGGTTGAGGAATCACCTCTGAGTCTGTTCTATCAGTAAACAGTGTAATTATTCTTCAGTATTGTTATGAACAGTAGGTTTTGCTCTTCAAAGTTAAAAGATCTTTTTCTTGTCACATGTGAAACTGTTTTGCTTTTTTAGGACTCTGGCAGGCAGTGAACCTGTGGCATATTTTGCTGGAAATACTTACAAAGCAAGACATGCTTGTGGTTGGATTCAATCCACTTTTTCCCTTAGCGAAGGGCTTCATTCAGTAGAGGCGCTACAATAATACTTAATTGTTAATGCAAAGTACTGTAGACACAATATGGTCTGAGTTCCACAGTGGTGCCTGCTGGCATTTAACATGCAGCATGCTTTTAAAAAGCAGATAGTGGAAGAAACAAACAGGAAAGTTATATTTAATATTGCTGCATTGCAAAGACAAAAACCATCGCATGATTGGATTATTATAATTAATGGTTTGTATTATGATTTATGTATAGGGGTTCAGGTTGTGGCCATTTTATAATGAATTTTGTGCCAAAAATAGTTAGACAAAGCACTGACTGACCAGCATCCTTAACACTGTTGCAGCTAAGCATTTTGGAATGCTCACATGGTGTGTTTGGAAACCCTTTGTGTGTGCTACATTTTTCCATTTGGTATGAGGCTGAGCACTAATCAGCTCACCACTAATTAGAAATCATTCTGTGTCCTGCACCCCATTATTACACAAAATTATGTCAGACCTTAAGAATTTTTACATTCAGAAGGAAAAGTTTCTGCAATACCTTTTGTCATGCATCTCCCTAACATAAAATTTGAAAATAAGCTTTTACTGTTTTGAAACAGCCATTATGGAGGAAGCAAAAGCAATTATTTTGCTGCAGTTGAATTACTTTCTACTTTTGATTCTTTTTATTGATACCAGTGGTGAAAGTGAGAGGAATAAAAGAACTCTTAAAATTTTTATATTTATAAAGGTCTTGGAAAATTATGGAAATCTTTATACTATTGAGAGGTTTGCATTCATCTTTGTAGATCTTAAAGTATTGGTGGGCAGAAAGCCTGGAGGTAGCATCCCGTGGAGCTCTTATATGGCATGTAAAACTGCAGAAGTGCTTTCCTGTTACACAACTCAGGATCAGCCCTTATGTACATCTCATCAAAACTGGAATACGAAAGAAATTCACTGTTCTGGGGGAAGGCAGGAGTGGAGATGCAAATTTACCTTGTTCTTGTTCTATTTTCCTGATGTTAGTAATATGTATTCATAAATGGGTTTTGTAAGCTGTGTTTTAAAAATGAGTCCTCTGAGGACCAAAGTTTTAAACTAACTACACATAAGAGTTCTTTACAAAGGCTGACAGTTTCATTTATTTATGGTTGCAGGCATTCACTGTGACAGTGTGTGTGCTGAGGGACAGTGGGGTCCAAATTGCTCATTGTCTTGTTACTGCAAAAATGGAGCATCCTGCTCTCCGGATGATGGAATCTGTGAGTGTGCACCAGGATACAGAGGCACCACTTGTCAGAGAAGTAAGGACAAAATAAATGCTTTAAAATCTCTGTTTCTCCCTCCCTTACTTGGAGTACATGTCATATAATACTATAATGCTTTGTTAATTATAGTATGAAGTACTATGAAACAGTCCCTGATTGGACATTTTGTCAAAATGTATGAATATACATGAATAAGTGTTATCTGAAATTAACAAATGTTTCCAACTAGTAGTGCTCTTCTTGTTATGGTACAATTTTATTCACTGTCTGTGCCATAATGTCATTATACACAGGACTTTCTAAGAAACAAATTTAGTAGGGGATTCCATTCTAAAAGCAAGCATTTCCAAATGTGATTGAATGATGAACATTAATTTTGTAATAGGTATTTTGGTAGGTAAATAAAACATGCATGAGTTTCAGAAGCTAGAAACCTTAGCTTCCTATTGAATTTGGTAGGAATCATTGGCTTAGTTATTGCTTTTTTTAACACTTAGTTTGAAGCAGCAAAGAAAGGCCAGTGGGATCAGGCCTCACAGTAAGCAGAAGGTATGATAGGTACCCATAGTTGCATTTGAAAAATTTGTCTCTGTAAAATTTAGATGTTACAAGATGAGAGATACAGATGAACTGAGGCAAATCGTACCAGAAACAGAGAGGCAAAAGTAAGATGATGTGCAAAATATCTACCCTCCCAAGAAGATTTGTCACAGTCTGCCAGCAGTCTAGCTGTTTTCAGTTTGAATTGTTGAAACTGTGAGGTAAAGGTGTTCAGAGAAGAGAAACGTGAGTCCTCTGCACTTGGGAGGGTAGCCTTGTTTTCAGAGGAGGTCTCCCAGAAACAGGGTCAAGAAGCAGGTGGGGTAAGGCCAAGCAGAGATGCTCTAGGTCCTCCAAGAGGCTTAAAAGGCAGGAGATGACATGAAATGATTACTAGAAGGTAGAAGGAGAACCAGAGGATGATGCAGTCCTAACAGTCCAGGAATGGCAAGATTTCAAGCTGAAGAATGTGATTGCCTATGGCACTATTAAATCCCACCTTAGTGTGGCATTAATATTCCTTAAGCATTTCTAAGTGCAGTAATTATTCTCACTATCTAATCTCTAAAGGCCTTGCAGTTAATCAGTTAATCCAAAGGCAGACTTAAGTGTAACACTACATGTAAAAATGTTCCTTGTGTTTTGGAACTGTGCCTATAACCTGGACAAGAGGCTTCCAGTCCAGTGGCTCTCAGAGCCCCTCTCTGATGTGCAGTCTGGAGGCTGGGAAGACAAAGGTCATATGAATAATTTGGATTCCAGTCAGAAGTGCCTTTTCGGTAAACAGGAAGACCTTTTGGCACTGTTTCACTTGGAAAAGTTAATCTCTCTAGAGAGATCTGGCCACATAACTTGTATCAAGTGTGTAATTAAAAGACTGAATCTTGAATGAAATTAAAATATTGAAAAGATTCCAAGTTAGTTTTTGCCAGTGCTAATTGCCTCTGTGCAACAGGTATTTCTTTTGATGTATTACCTAATATTGCAATTTATCAGGAATAAATGCCAAAAAGGGTTAGAACAACAAAGGAGATTTTATGTGAGTCTTTTTTATTATTATTATTCACTTTTGTTTTTCTTTTTTTAAAGAAACTAGTGACTTTAGCATAAGAATCAAGTGGATGACTCTGTATTCCTGTCTCAGGTTCTCTAAAAGTTAGGTGATGCATAGCTGTCTGCACTGTGTAATGAATACAGTGAGTATCTAAATCAAAGGATGACTGGAAAACATTTTTATGTTTTTTCTCAGTGAAAGAATGGCTATTTGTATTCCAAGTTAGGAAACACATAAGAAGTCAAGGTCTAAGATGATCCTACTCATCTACAAATAAAACTATACACTGTATTTTTTTAAATTACTTTTCTTCAAATATGCTTTAAAAGATGTTCATGTTGTAGAGGACATATAATGTATTGCCAAATATGTATCATATGTAAAGTATATATGTATTTCAAACATAACCCAAGTACAGTGTGGCCTGACAAGTAATAGAATGTCAACTAAGTCATCACTAACTGGAATATAGTAAACCCTTGAGGAAGATGAGCAAATCTCCTTTCATGAGTGTAAAGCATTGAATTCTATGAATAATAACAGCTACCATTGCAACTCTTGTGTATTTAGGAAGCAGAGCTAATTCAAAGTCAGGAACAAGTGCACTGAAGAGTAGTCCATGGCTATATGGAAAGTGCAGGAAGCAATGACTGTTTGTTCTTTTGATTCCAGTTTGTTCCCCTGGGTTTTATGGCCACCGCTGCAGCCAGACATGCCCCCAGTGTGTACACAGCAGTGGTCCCTGCCACCATATTACTGGCTTATGTGACTGCTTACCTGGATTTACAGGAGCCCTCTGTAATGAAGGTACAGGTTGTAATAAAGATTCTATGGGATGCAGAGACCAAGCACTGTAATAATTTTCATTCCATCTCTTGGAAACTATAAAACCAAAAATCATTTCTGTTGTAGTATGTGCAGTTTATAAATTAGGAATCTTAAGCAGATTTAAGCTGTTTGAACATTTGATCTTGAAGTATGAAACCCACTGTATTCTTATTTGTATTATTTGTATAATGAGTATGTATAATGGGCTTACCAGAATTTATGCCTTACTTTAACATTATACTAAGCAATATATTTCTTGATCCAAATATTAGTTGCTTTCTCCTGAAATAAAGAAAATACAATCTTGTTCTGATTATTAAGGAGCTCTAATTCTAACAACTTTTTCTCAGTGTGTCCTAGTGGCAGATTTGGCAAGAACTGCATTGGAATATGCACCTGCACCAATAATGGAACATGTAATCCTATTGATAGATCCTGTCAGTGTTACCCGGGCTGGATTGGTAGTGACTGCTCTCAGCGTAAGTATCAGCTTTTCTTCCTTTATTTTTAAAACAATGAATCAGGGTTTGGCTATTTAAATTCTCTACTTTTTGGTAAAGAAACACTCTCTAAGTCAGAATTCAGGACTTCATGGTATATAAAGATGAGATCCTAAACTTTTCTGCATTTCATTGGCACTATCAGAAACACATTTATACTATGATTTTTCTAATAAGTGGGCTGGAGCATATGACAAGAGGGAACAATTTTCAGTCTTCCACTGTCCAAAGAGTTGTAGAGAAGCTGGATCAGACTTGTTTCAGAAGTGCACCGTTAAAAGACAAGAGGCAATGCTCACAGGTTGCAACAAGGGTGACTTTAACTAGATACAAGAAAAAACATCCTTACGGTGAGAGTGGTCAAGCACAGCAACTGCACAGGGAGGCTCTGAAGTCTCTAGTCTGGAAGAGGTTGTGAAATTATCATCACTGAAGATCCTTTGAGCAGGATGTTGGACTAGTTGATGCTAGAGCACCTAAATCTTCCAACAGGAAAAAGTCTGTGACTTGATGAATCTTGCATTGCAGAGAGGGTTCTTGACCTACTGTTTACTCATCTGTAATTATTTAGTCTTATCACAGAAGTGTTGTGAACATCCCAGGTCTTGTATAGTCAGGATAGTCTTATGAATTACAGAGGTGTTATTTTGCAAATAAGGAGCTGAGGCACTGAAATACAGGGTGTTTTTTCTTATTACTGTTGCATAGAAAGCTACTAGCAAGGCTCAGAACAGAGCCAAGATTTTCTCAGATACAAGTTAGTGCTCTGGCTGCAAGACCATCCTTATTCTTGTTAAACATTTGAGCATTTTGTTAAGAAATTTTTCACTATGACTTGTTTTAAGTGTTTATAACTTTCTGATGGATTTTTCTCTTTCTTTCTTTTATAGATGTCTCACAGATACACTTTTTTAGTGTCTTTCTACCTCACTCAATAAGTATTGTCTTGGTATGGTAAACTCAGTGCAGACTTTGTTGCTGACTTAAAAAGCAGAAGGGCTAGGCCCTAATTTTATTATGTTTCATCGAGTTATTTTATTAAATAATTAGGGATTCTCCAGATGCCTTGCTGGGTTTATGCAAATTACTGGTGACAGGAAAGAAATATCTGAAGCAAAACTCACGAGAAGCATATCCAATTCCATAAGGTACCAAAATCACAGAATGGTTTGGAGTGGAAGGGACCTTAAAGATCATCTAGTTCCACGCCCCCTGCCATGTGCAGGGACACCTTCCACTAGACCAAGTTGCTCAAAGTCCCATCCAACCTGGCCCTGAACACTTCCAGGGATGGGGCATCCACAGCCTCTCTGGACAACCTGTTCCAGTGCCTCACCACCCTCACAGTCAAGAACTTCTTCCTTACATCTAACCAAATCTACCCTCTTTCAGTTTAAAGTCATTACCTCTTGTCCTATCACTATACGCTCTTGTAAAAAGTCCCCCCCCAGCTTTCTTGTAGGCCCCCTTTAAGGACTGGAACGCTGCTGTAAGGTGTCCCTGGAGCCTTCTCTACTCCAGGCTGAACAACTCCAACTCAATCTGTCCGCATAGATGTGCTCCAGCCCTCTGGTCATCTTCATGGCCCTCCTCTGGACTCACTCCAACAGGTCCATGTCTTTTTTGTGTTGGGGGCCCCAGAGCTGAACGCAGTACTCCAGGTGGGGTCTCATGAGAGCAGAGCAGAGGGGGAGAGTCACCTCCCTCAACCTGCTGGTCATGCTTCTTTTGATGCAGCCCAGGATACAGTTGGCTTTCTGCGCTGCAAGCGCACATTGCCGGGTCACGTGGAGCTTCTCGTCAACCAACACCCCCAAGTCCTTTTCCGTAGGGCTGCTTTCAATCCACTCATTGCCCAGCCTGTATTTGTGCTTGGGATTGTCCCAACACATGTGCAAGGCCTTGCACTTGGCCTTGATGAACTCCGTGAAGTTCTCATGGGCCCACCTCTCAAGCCTGTTAAGGTCCCTCTGGATGGCATCCCTTCCCTCCAGTATGTTGACTGCACCGCACAGCTTGGTGTTGTTGGCAGACTTGCTGAGGTTGCACTTGATCCCACTGTCCATGTTGCCGACAAAGATGTTAAACAGTGCTGGTCCCAATACCAAACCCTGAGGAACGCGCCTCAGTCTGGACATCCAGCCGTTGACAGCAATGCTTTGAGTGCGACCATCCAGCCAATTCTTATGCACTGAGTGGCCCATCCGTCAAATCCATGTCTCTCCAATTTAGAGACAAGGGTGTTGTTCAGGACAGTGTCAAATGCTTTGCACAGGTCTGGGTAGATGACGTCTGTTGCTCTTCCCTTATCCACCAACACTGTAACCCCACTGTAGAAGGCCACCAAATTTGTCAGGCATGATTTGCCCTTAGTGAAGCCTTGTTGGTTGTCACCTGTCACCTCCTTATTTTCCTTGTGCCTTAGCATAGTTTCCAGGAGGATCTGCTCCGTGATCTTGCCTGGCACAGAGGTGAGACTGACCAGTCTGTAGGTCCCTGGGTCTTCCTTTTTTCCTCATTTTAAGAATGGGGGTTATGTTTCCCCTTTTCCAGTCAGTGGCAACTTCCCTGGACTGCCACGACTTCTCAAATATGATGGATAGTGGCTTAGCCATTTCATCTGCCCATTCCCTCAGGACTCACAGATGGACCCCATCAGGTCCTATGGACTTGTATAACTTCAGGTTCCTTAGATGGTCTCAAACCTGATCTCCTACGGTGGGCAGTTCTTCATTCTCCCAGTCCATACCTTTGCGTTCTGCGGCTTGGGTGGTGTGGCTGGAGCACTTGCCAGTGAAGACTGAGCAAAAAAAGTCATTGAGTACCTCAGCCTTCTCCATATTCCAGGTAACCAGGTCTCCCATTTCCTTCCAGAGAGGGCCCACATTTTCCCTGGTCTTCCTTTTATCACTGACGTACCTATAGAAGCTTTTCTTGTTGCCCTTGACATCCCTGGGCAGATTTAATTCTATCAAGGCTTTAGCTTTCCTAACCTGATCCCTGGCTGCCCAGACAATTTCTCTGTTTATTCCTCCCAGGTTACCTGTCCTTGTTTCCACCCTCTGTGGGCTTCCTTTTTGTGTTTGAGTTTGTCCAGGAGCTCCTCGTTCATCTGCGCAGGCCTCCTGGCATTTTTGCCTGACTTCCACTTTGTTGGGATGCATCACTCCTGAGCTTGGAGGAGGTGATCCTTGAATATTAACCATCTTTCTGGGGCCTCTCTTCCCTCCGGGGCTTTATCCCATGGTACTCTACCAAGCAGATCCCTGAAGAGGCCAAAATCTGGTCTCCTGAAGACCAGGGTAGGGAGCTTGCTGTGTGCTCTCTTCACTGCCCTAAGGATCTTGAACTCCAGCATTTCATGGTCACTGCAGCCAAGGCTGCCTTTGAGCTTCACATTCCCACCAGCCCCTCCTTGTTGGTGAGCACAAGGTCCGGCACAGCACCTCTCCTCGTTGGCTACTCCATCACTTGGAGAAAGAAGTTGTCATCAATGCATTCCAGGATTGCTTATGTCCTGCAGTGTTGTCGCTCCAACAGTTATCGGGGTGGTTGAAGTCCCCAGTGAAGACCATGGCTTGTGAACCTGAGGCTGCTTCTATCTGTCTGTAGAGGGCCTCATCTGCTTGGACTTCCTGGTCAGGTGGCCTGTAGCAGACCTGCACTGTAATGTCACCTGTCCCTGCCTTCCCTTTAATCCTGACTCATAAGCTCATAAGGTCTCAGTCAGTTCTTCATCCATCCCCAGGCAGACCTCTGTGCTCTCCAGCTGGTCATTGACATAGAGGGTGACACCCCCTCCTTGTGTCCCCTGCCTGTCCTTCCTAAAGAGCCTGTATCCTTCCATTCCAACACTCCAGTCACAGGAGCCATCCCACCATATCTCCATGATGCCGATAAGATCACAGCCCTGCAGGCATGTGCATGTCTCTAAGTCCTCTTGTTTATTCCCCATGCTATGTGTGCTTGCCCAGAGGCATTTAAGTTGGGCCCCAGTGAAGCTGACTTACTGGCTGGAGTGGCTGGAACTCTTTTGTGCTGCTCCTTAGGTGCCATCCTGCTGACCTGTGATCCCTCTGCAGGCTCTGGGCATCTATTGCTGACACTAGCATTAAACTGGTAGGATTGGGATGGATTGGGGTTTCCCTCCCTTAGCAACTTATTTTAAAGCCCTCTTTGCCAGCTTGGCAAGCCTATGACCAAAGATGCTCTTCCCCTTCTCTGACAGATGCACCCCATCAGCTCCCAGTAGACCAGGTTTCTCAAAGCAAGTCCCATGGTCTAAGTAGCTGAACCTCTGGCTGTGGCACCAGTCCCATAACCATTTGCTGATTCACCAGATTTGACTGGCCCTTTCAAACCCCTTCCCTTTGATGGGAGGATTGATGAAAAAACTGCCTGTGCTCCGGAGTCCCTTACTGCTGCTCCCAGGGCTCTGTAATCCTTCATATTCCTCAGACTGCAGATAATAGTCGGTGGACTGTATGAGGCTTGGTAGTTTCTCGATGACGTCCCCAACACAAGGCGCCAGTAAGGAGTGCAACTCTCTAGAGAGTGTGTCAGGTAGGCAAATGGGTACCTCTGTACCTCTCAGAAGAGAGTCACCTACTACTATCACCTGTTACCTCTTCATAGTTGCGCTGGTTGTTACACAGGGAGTGGATCAGGCTGCCTTACTCAGCTGCAGCATCTCTCCTGATATGACAGGTCTTCCCTCTTTAGTCTGCAGAGTAGTGAAGCGGTTCTGCAAGGGCACCTCAGGCTTCAGGGGAAGTCTCTTCCTCCTGCAGGTCCTTGCTGTTGCAAGCTTCCATTCTTCTGCATTATTGGCTCCCCTCCCTTCTGTGTGTGCCAGTAGGGGAGGTTTTGCCTGTTTGGCCGTGGGCTGTGGGTCCACTGCAGACTGCGCTTGGAACCCGCTACCTAACCCATTCTCAGCCTCCCTGATATTACGCAGCCTTCTCACTGCCTCCTGCAGCTCAGCCACCTGCTGCAGGAGGTCCTCCCCCTTTTGCAGGCAGGTCTGCTGCCTGTCCCTGCCCCAGGAAAAAGGTCCAGGCACTGCCTGCTGTCTGCGGTCTGCACTGCAGCCTCTCCCTTCAGCAGCTCCGTCTGGGTGGAGGCACTGGCCACCGCTGGGATGGATGGTGCAGACCCCCCCAGCCAGAGCTGCAGCGTTTGCTCTCACGAGTGCCCACAATTCTGCCTTGAGGATCAGGTAGGATGTGTGTCCTTGGCCTGTGCAGATGGTCACAGAACAGTGCCACAGTCCACACAGTCTGAAACACATGCATGCCAAAATTTCAGTCAACCCATTTTATGAATAAAAGAAGCTGTACCAGACCCTGATATGTCAAAATTCAAAAGACATTGTGCTGGGGTTTCCAGGGAGGTGCATTTCCTAATAACATGCCTCATTGGTTTATATCATTTACGGTTTGACTGGTTCAGGTTAACTGGCTCTATACCAGTGAGATGTAACATCTGGTCAATTTGGAAAAAAAACCTTTGCTGGCTAAATTCTGTGAAGTGATTAGCATGCACAACTCAATATGATACCAAAATAAATCTTAGGCCTATTGCTGTAGAAGCCAGTATCAACAAAGGTCCCTGTTTTTATGGTAAAATAAGTAGGTAGTTGGGAGAGTAGCAGAATAGGAGTATTTAGGAGGAGGAGGGACTTAGTCACTGAATCAATAACAGGAAAATGGTGCCAACAATATGAATGGAAGCGTCTATTGAGGCTGTGCTCATGGACCGTAACAGAGGAAGTTTATTTGCTTTGTATAAAGGCCTTTCGTTCACATGGAAAAGAATGATTCCATTAATTTCTTTTGGAACTAGCGACCTTTTTGAAACTTCTAACCTTTCGTCTGTATGTGATTTACATTCCTTCTTAGTTGACCACTAATTTCAAACACACAGACACACAAAAAAAATCATTATAAGTCACAACTGAAGTGGAAACAACAAAAAACAAACTTAGTGTCGTGGTTTAAGCCCAGCTGGTAACAAAGCACCACAAAGCCGCTTGCTGACTCCTCCCCCTCCCCCCCAGCTCCTGGTGGGATGAGGAGGAGAAAATATAAAGAAAACCTTGTGGATCAAGACAAGGACAGGGAGGGATCACTCCCCACTTATGGTCAAGGGCAAAACCCAGACTCAACTTGGGGAAAAAACAAAATAAATTTAATTTACTACCAACGAAATCAAAACAAGGATAATGGCAAGTAAACCCAAATCTTAAAACACCTTCCCCCCACCCCTCCCTCCTTCCTGGCTCAACTCCACTCCCAGTTTTCTCTACCTCCTCCACCCCAGCAGCACAGGGGGACAGGGAATGGGGGTTGGGGTCAGCTCATCACAGGTTGTCTCTGCTGCTCCTTCCACCTCAGGGAGAGGACTCCTCACTCTTCCCCTGCTCCAGCGTGGGGTCCCTCCCACGGGAGACAGTCATTCAGAAACTCCTCCGGCGTAGGTAGTTCCCACAGGCCGCAGTCCTTCAGGCACAGGCTGCTCCAGCGCGGGCTTTCCCATGGAGTCATGGCCACCTTTGGGGGCATCCCCCTGCTCCGGCCTGGGGTCCTCCCCGGGCTGCAGGTGGGCATCTGCTCCCCCGCTCCCCTCCATGGGCTGGGGGGGACAGCCTGCCGTCTCACCAGGGGCTGCAGGGGCATCCCCTCCTCCAGAGCACCTCCTCCCCCTCCTTCTTCACTGACCTTGGTATCTGCAGAGGGGTTCCTCTCACATTCCAAAACCACTACTCACTGCAGGTTCCCCTTCTTAGACCTGTTATCCCAGAGGCACTACCACTGTTGCTGATGGGCTCAGCCTTGGCCAGAGGTGGGTCTGACTTGGAGCCGGGGAAGCTTCTGGCAGCTTCTCACAGGAGCCACCCCTGCAGCCCCTCCCCTGCTACCAAAACCCCACCACACAAACCCAAAACACTTAGTACTTTTTTTTGTTTCAATGCAATGTAATATATTTCTTAATGAAGTGAAATTTCGGCAAAGGTAACACTTTGCAAAAATACAGCCCACACATAGATGACTCATTATGCAACCATTTAAAGGATTCAGGAGGTTTTATTGGTCACACACAGGTCTCTGGACAACCAAATCAGTACACAACAATAAGAAGTTATCAGCCTTTTTAAACTTACACAGGAATAAAGCTAAGGCTTCCATGTCTGACCTGTTTCTTCTCTCCTATGAAATACTCCCGTTGTACTTCAACAGAACTATTTTTAAATTATGTATCTATTTACTAAAGAAACGAAAAACCTCAAGATGTGAATCCTAATCAACAGAAAGGGGCTACTCTTAGACTACCCTCTGCACATAGTGGTATTCTGACATGAAGAAAATTGTCTTTTGCTGTCTCTGAATAGTAATCAGCATTTTGGAACCACTTCACTATTCTAATGGCAGCATGTTGTATCAATTTCATTCACCATGACATTTTCAAAGCAGTCAGTAAAATTCTATCTCATAACATGTTGACATGATGGTGAGTGAAAAAAATCTCCACTTCATAGATAATTACTTGTTTTTTAGAAATACTATATTGATTAATGGACCCAAGGAAGCAACTGACTTAACTTGATGAAGGTACAGTCCTGATTATATGCCTATATTTAGGCAATTATGTAGAATCTAACAGTGGAAATACAAGAAGTAAGCTTAGTATTGGGTCTAAAGCTATAGGCTATAAGACGTGTTTCAACCTTCTCTGTTTATTCTCCTTCACCTCTGAGGCTTAAAAGGTGTATCCCTTTGACTATGTTCAACTGAACTGTTTTCAGGTGAAAAAATAAATTAAGAAAGGAAACTTACATGGCTTTTTCTATGAGAAAGCTGGTATGAGTATCCTAGTTCCTGAGTATTAAGTATGTATCACTGGTTTCTTTCACACATTCAATCTTTTTCAGCACTTTTTAGCTAGAGTAAAATGATTCCTTAGTTAAAAAAAATAAATCTTTGGCTATTTGATCAGAAGGGAGCAACCCCAAAAATACATTTAAAAGAAAAACAACAAACCCCAAATGAAGCGGTGGTCATATGTGAATGTAAGCAGCTCTATACATAGGTATCAAGGATCTTTGTCATTTGAGATTAATTAATTGCTCTGGGTTGTTTTAGCTTGCCCACCTTCCCACTGGGGACCAAACTGCATCCACACGTGCAACTGCCATAATGGAGCTTACTGCAGCGCCTATGATGGGGAGTGCAAATGTACCCCAGGATGGACTGGCCTTTACTGTACACAAAGTAAGTGACTTTTGTTATCTGTTCTTAGTCTACAAATCAATGACAGAATTTTCCTTCAGAATTTTCACTCTTCATTCATTGATTTCTTCCCATGCTGCTGAACCTTTTTTGATCCAGAAGATGCAATACATTACCTCCATGGTTGCAGGGAGGCCCCTGTAGAAGCAGTGGCAGAGTGCTGGCCGCTACATTCAGGCTTCTCTTTAGCCTTCCTTTGGAGGAAGACAACTTTTGGCCGCAGCCAGGCATCCCTGTGGAAGAGTCTGTCATGTGCACATGCAGAATGAATGACTGACGTTCAGATGCTACCACTGCAGATGCGTGGTTATGGGTGCAGTCTATAGCATGGATGGTGTCAGCTCTGCAGGTGTTCCCCACAGGGTGGGATGACAGTACCATCTAATTCCTTCCCTCTCTGAAACACCCCCAAAAAGTACTCTAGCAGCAGGGACCCAACAACCAAGATTGTAAGATAACACAGAGCTGACTGAAGCCATGAGAATAGCTTCTGGCTTAGCTGTGGCTGTGGTCTACTGAGGCACAGTCCCTGTTGTCACTGCAAAGTGATCATACAGTACATCTTGCATCTGTAATTGCTACCTCCCGAGGGCAATTGCAACAACAGCTGTAGGTCAGCACTTGTAATTCAAATACTGATATAGAAGCTATTTTATTTGGAACTTAGAAACTTAACTTCACTAGACTGTAATGTTACAATTTAAAAAAAAAAAATTCTTCATGTAATTAATACATTAATACTGATGTTTTTCCCAAGAGATTTTCATTAAAATAAAAATACAAGCTGTGCAGTGACGGGGTGTAGGTATATGGCACCCATTATATGCTGGGTAAGAGTTTATATAAAGTTTGAGAAATAAACATTTGTTAGAGATAGATGTTGATGAAGCTGGCTTCTTATCTTTATCATATTACAGCTTCAATTTGGTTTATCTTCAATCCAAGCACCCCCACTGTCTGTAATCTGGGCACAACCATTATCTTAGAACTCTAGAAAAATAAGACTGCTAACTGTGTTTTGCCTTCAGTGTTTAAATACACATTTTTCATAAAATCAGAACTCTCCTTTTCCAACTGAATAATGTCATAATGGCAGGAAATAACAGATATATTATAGGGCCATATGGATGCAGCTCTGGAAGACATTCACTATACTGGTTCAGCTGTCAGCTATCATGGTTATTTTGCTTCCTGCTGGTGAATAATGATCTCTTTGCAGTGATATGTCTTCTTCATACTGAAATGGTATCTTTGTGAGGAGCTGAGATACAATATGTTATTATTTTTAATTTTTTATGCTTCAACATCAACTGTGCAGAACGTGTGTCCAAAGGTTCATTCATCACTGAACAGACTCCCTGCTCTTGTTCACAAACTGCCCTCTTTCTCCTCCTTCAAATATCTTCTTAAACCCATTTCTCTGAAGAGCCCTTCTTGCTGCCTTCTGAACATCTGCTGTCCGCACAGTTTCCCAACCTCATTTTTATGTAGCTTTTGCCTAATGTGTATTTTAAACCACTTAAAATAGGGTCGGTCTTGATCTACTGTGTGTACAGAATGCCATGTTGAGTAGCAGGGCTACAGCAATGACTTCTCAACAACATACTTAACCAGAATATTTGCATTTTATTTCTAGAGCGGTTGTTTCATGCCTTTTCTTGTCCCCTTCCTTGTATTGCAGGATGTCCCCTAGGGTTTTACGGGAAGGACTGTGCATTGATATGCCAATGTCAGAACGGAGCCGACTGCGACCACATCAGTGGGCAGTGCACCTGCCGCACAGGGTTCATGGGGAAGCACTGCGAGCAGAGTGAGTAGGGATGGGAATTGTTTATGCCTGGTAGCAAATACTGAACCCTGAGCCAACCTTCTGTTGTTTTGACCACAGCTGTGATACAACCTCTTGGATTTAGTGGTAATTTTGATGGAGAAAGAGCTTCAGGAGTTGGACCTCGGCTTTTTCCAAACACTTAAAAGCCCACAGAATTAGTTATTAAGACTGATTACGATTGTGATGGCCATTTCTTTCAATTTGTAGCTACATGGAAAAGGCATTTGTACTACATTCTAGTTGCTTTGGACATAATGCTAAAAAAACCCCAACAACTCTGTCATGTAAAAGTAACAAATGAATCCAAGTAATTTTCATTGGCATAAACCACAATGAAAACTAATAGTTAGAAAACTAAAGTAGTACCACATCAATCCTAGTGGATAGAATTAATCTTTGCAATGTGGTTTTACAATACAATTGGATTACAAAAGCATAATAGATGGCATTTTTTTTTCACATATGTGTGATTCTTTACCCAAGAAAATCAAGAATAACACCACTGATAACAGCGATGGTAAAACATTGTACAACATTAAAAGACTATAATCAGGCTCATAAGCACAGAACCGTTAGTCCGACTTTTGCTAACATTACAGAGTGGTGCTCACACACTTCATGCATTATATTGCAGTGCAGAGGAATCCATTCAACCTACTGTTGTGAAGGTTTAAACCCATCTTTGGCATCAGCGCTGTGCACAAAGCATTGCTTTTGATGTGTGGAGGACACTAAGTATTACCTATAACCAGGACTGATTTAGCTGCATCTAGATCTGAAGGGCTGTGCAGTGGCCAAGATAGCGTGTGTCATACCTGTAACAGAAAGGAGGGGAGGTTACTACCATCTCTATAGACACACTTTATTCCCTCAGCAGTTGGTCTAGCCCCTAGGAGTTATTTTTTTAAGGCTCATCAACATTATGGTAGAACCACTAAAAATTTAGAAGTGGATATTTTTTTTCTAACAAAAATACAGTTGCAGCAAAATCTGAATGGTTTAGAGGAATATATTTACTTCAGTGAAATAATAGGTGGCAGCATGTAATTATTACATATTTAAATTTTCTTATTCCGCTCTGATGATTTCAGTATTTCACTTCAAAGAGCATTATTATTTAGGAAAAGATAAACTTTCTAAGATCCTCTCCTGATGTCATGATCAAAAGATAATTTTGAATACTTTGGCAAATCTAACTTTATTATTATATTTTATAGTTTTTATATTTTATCCTATAATTTGGTAATAATGATTTAATGATATTAAACTAAATGTTTTGGTATTTCTGAATTTGAATGTCAGTTTTAAAAATTGACTTTTTATTCCAGTTCAGGTTTCAAAATGCCAGAGTATATTATGACATGATGGGTTTTGCCCAGCCATTGACTTCAATAGTTATATTCTTGTTTTACTGAATGTAACCAAGAGAAGGAGAGGCTATATAAGCATGAAATTCCACTTGAGTCTGGATTTATCAAGACTGCAAGAACATTTCTCTAAAATCTATTGTGTTACATTATCATGTAAATTATTCTAAATTAGGAATACAGAAAAGATGAGTTAGATATTTTAAAAAGACAAGAAGAAAAACAAATTAGTATAATTACAAAACTCCTGAGAGGTTTCAGAAAATTGAGTCTCAGAAGGGGAAGAAATACCACATTTTCTTAAACCATCAGAACTACAATAATGTAACAAGACACACAGTAACAGAGGTGGCAGTATAAAAGAAATATTTTTTATCAGTGTAGGATAATTCTCTACCATGCTAATTGCCTGATATAGGAGACACTTTGATCAGTAATTAATTATTGTACTCAAATCACCCTGGGAGAGAAAAAATAATTTAAAAGTCTTCCAATTAGCTTATTCTTCATAATCTAGCACTTTTCTTCTGTAGGTAGTTTCTCAGTATATCCATTACAGTATCAAAGTATGCTATAAGCAGCCTAGTACCAGTTTTATTTTTTTATAAATGCATGGTGTATATTAGACTTATTCTTACAGCCCTTATTTCTTGCTCTTTTACCACATCAGCATATTTGTCATATGACATGACACCAGACAGATGTCTGGCTTCACTCATATTTTTACGTGATTTTTCAAGCACTGGAATCTGAGTAACCTGAGAGACCTGACATTCTGGTGTAGAACTGGCATTTTGTTCACATTTTGTCCACTTCTTCACTGTCTTGTACCCTTTAATCTATTTTTTTTCCTTCCTAATTTCACTGCCTTAGTGGCAGCAACATTACAGGTAAAGGACAATCACTTCTGAATGCAACTTCCTTCTACACACACACTCTCTCTCTCTCTCCCCCCCCCCCCCCCACACTTCC